TAAAGCAAGAATTCATGTGACTGCATGTGGAAATGATCAAGATTAAAACTGATCCAGCAGAAGAAAAAGGAATGGTTTTAACCCAGAACAGTTCCCACTTTAGTTCACTGCCTGACCAAATGAACACCTCTGCCGGCTGATAGCCAGGGGCACTTCCATATCCTTCAGAAATGGTGGATTAAAGGGACTGTAAAACAAAGATCTTAAAATTTCACATACTATTACTCTGACAGTGTTTCACACGTCCTTTAAAACCACAGATTGTGCCAGCCTCTACAATGCTTCTATAGACTTTTGTCAAGAAAAGCCCCAAAGCAGACAAAAGCCATAAATCAAACACGGTAGCAAATACCAAATGCTCAGCATGGTTTATATACCTCTCCTTAAAATTACAGAGATACCAAGTAGGAAATACTGTAAATGTAATAAATATTTTCTTGTACTTAACACAGATAAGTGGAAGGAAGCTGTTGAGAGTATCACGTGCTCACTCTTAATCCAAAAATGCAACCTACATTTTCTTCGGCTTAGATCACCTCCTCTCAAACTTAATGGCCCAATGAACCACCCTCAACCCTTGCACTCAAACTTTTAAAGTGAGGTCCTGTAGCTGCTACTATTTAATATGGGGTTGTGAACCAAAAGCAGAGCACTACTTCTGCCTTACATGTTATTGTTGGAGAGATGTTGAATTAGACCAGCAAAATTCAGATTTTCATTGTGCAGACCGCTAGCATTTTTTTTTTTACAGCAGAACTATAGCTTCTCTGATAACACATTTATAATTCATAATTGACAGTAGATGCATCTTAGTTGCCATTCACAGACTCCCTAGGAAGTCACTCAGCCCCTGAGAAATAGCCTAAAACCTCATGAAATAGGTTTTCATCCAAACATCCTCTTCCTTTAGACCTGAGCATCACTTAACACACAGAGACTGGGACCAAAGCCAAAACTGAACGTTTGGGGTTGTTGCTTTTTTTTTTTTAATATTAATTTTGGCATGTGCCCCCCCTGAAAGTGTTATGAAGGAACAGGCACTTATTACTGACAGCGGGTAAACAAGCAGGGCCTGGGGGTGCGTGGGGAGCAGGGCAGAGGGGGCCCCTCGGGTTCTCCCTTGTTCCCCAGTCAGGCCGAGGCGCCCCGACCCCCGGCGAGAGGCCCCCTCAGCGCTCCTCCCCATTTTAACGCGGCTGTCTGGTCGTGGAGGTGTTTTTCCTTCCTTCCCTCGTTTTCTCTTCCCCTCCAAGCCGGTGGATACCCAGGATTTGAGCGTCAGAGCGAACGCACCGGGAAGCTGGTATTTCACGGCGCTGGAAGAACCGCCACCGACAGAAACCCGCGGGCAGCGGGCGCTGACAAACCAGCCGGCCCCGCTCGCCCTGGGGCACCGGCGGGAACCGGGGCTCCTCTCCGACACGGCACCGAAAGGGGGGGGCCCGTACCGAGGGCCCGCAACGCGCCAGGCCCCCGGTGACCCGCGGCCAGGCCCCCTCCGCTCCGCCCCGGGTCCCACCTCCCGCCCGCGGGGCTCCGCGCCCTCACTCACCCCTTGTAGTAGGCTTTCACCCGGACCTGGTGGGCGCTGTCCCCGCCGAGGCCGCCCCCTCCGCCGCCCGGTGCCGACATGGTGCTGTTGCCGCTGCTGTCCCGCTGTGTCGGCATCCCCCTCCTCCTCCGCGGCGGGCTGGGGGAGCGGAGGGCGGCGCGACCCCCGCCGCTGCCCTCACGGCGCCTGGGGGGGGGTGTGGGGTGTGGGTTGAACAACGGGCAGGGGGAGCGTGGAACGTCCCGCTGAGGGCAAGGAGCAGCCGCCCCGGGAGCGGCCGGTCAGCAGCTCCGCCGCCCCGGGGGAGGCGGCCGCCACTCCTCGCGTGTGCGTGTCTGTGTGTGCGTGTGCGCGCGCCCCCCCTCCCCCCCCCCCGCGCTAGTGGGCTCTTCCCCGCAGGACTCCAGCGCCCGCCTGTAGAGCGGAACACCCCACTCCGAAGAGGAAAGGGGGTGGGGGGAGGAAAGCAGTAGCCTCCGGGACCAAAGTAGAGGGTCGCTCCGGAAAGCTACGCGAAGGCCCCTCTCCTCTTTAACCCGCGCCCCCCGCCACTTGGTACGGCCCGCCGTGAGGCACGCTGGGACTGCTGGGCGGCCGCGCCTACCGGTATATATCACATCAATCACATACATACATATATATATATTTATATCTCATACCGGTATATATACCGCCCGAGCGCCTCCTTTGAGTTGGAGGTGCCTGGCCTCTTTGGGCAGCGGCTCGCTCTGCAGGGCTTCACTACAGCCGGAGCTGTGCTGAGGAGTGGGAGCGGAGGAGGCAAACAAGTCCTTTCACTTCGGTACAAAGAGGATGGTCCTTCATTTTAACGCCTGAAGAGCCAGAAACGCCCGCAGCGGTGCTCCGTTCCGCGGGCTGCGCCGCAGAACCAAACCCATCGCTACAACCGGGGGGGAAAAAAAAAAAGTTTTGGACGCATCGACTCTGCTCCTCCGCAACCAGTTTCATACCATGAGCCCTCCGCTAGTTTTGTCGCTTCCAGCCGGATCCGAGAGATGCCTAAAATCCAGGATTTTGACACAAAACCGCTGCAAAGGCGGCACGCTGCCGCTGGGCAGCTAGCACGCAGCTGACGGGCAACTGGAGCTGTTGGGCAGGAATGGCAATGGGTTCCTTGCAACTACTGTGGACTAAAACATTTTCTGTGAGAATTCTAAAGAATCCATGCAGTGTGCACTGCCCACAAGACAGTCTATTCACTTCAGGTGAAGCACTAATTACCACGTATCAAATGGCTAAGGTATTTTTTTTTAAGGAAGAAACAGGAAGGATGCTTTTTAACTAAAGGGGGGCAAAGGGAGATGGTTAACAAAAGGTATTTTATTAAAACTTAACCATAAGCCACCTTATCACTGTAAGTAGTGTTTCCTTCCAGCTTGGCCTATTTAACAATACATCAATAGCTTCTCTGCTGCTCTGATCACACATTTCTATTGACCAGCACTTCCTGAACAGATGGGTGTTTCTGGCAATCCTGAAACAGGGAACCTTTGTTTTCTTCTGTTACAGTAAAAACAGTTCCTCTTCCCCTGCCCCGCTCTGTGCTCCAATCACAACCACATCTGAATGTTTGTCTTAGAGCAGTGTGGAGTCCAGCTTCTCGTATTCAGTTACAGGCTGCTACATGAGATCGGCGCTTTGCAATCAGCACACCTTGCTCTTTCTTGTATTGGTGATAGAACAACTTAAGGCCTTATTTGCTGTTTACCTTAGGTGTAGTTAAAAAGTATAGAATTTTTTTCATGCTACCTGACCTTCCTGCAGCAGCTGTTTTTCCTCAGAAAAATGTTACTTGGCTCCACTCAGCTTTCACAGTCTCATACCTATTCTGTACATCTGGAAGCACCTTGCTGTATCTGAACTCACCCGTATCCGCTCAAGGACTTCTAACATGTTTTATATTCCCTACTGCATCTCCAAAAGTATTCTGGCATGAGTCTCCATTTCCCCTACATCTTTTTTAACCTGTGAAAATTCCTATTTTCTCCTACTGAATCATTAGGTAATGTTCTATAGACACCAGTCATCCTCATTAGACCTGGTAAATTATCACTACTTGCCACGAGCAGTCCACCTGTGGTCAGTGTGACTGCTTCACCCTTCAGCAGTTTACGCTCATCTATAACGCTCTGGAAGGTGTTCTGAGTTTTTACACTTGTCAAGATTCTTTTCTTTGCAAAGTACTTACCTATCCCAGCTAGCTGCCAGACATCTGGCAATCTTTCCCTGCCTTTCATGCCCAATTATCAGTTGGTCAAACTGCGTTATGTAAGGCAACAGCAACCTAATTGAAGGAAGTTTTGCTGAACTACATTTTACTATTTGTTCCTATTGCTCTTTTATCAAGTTCTTAACCAATTTAATTTTCATTCACACAACTGGTTCTCTATCAAGTATTTAAAGTGTCATGAACCAATACTGCAGTCCAACATAATTTTCTGCCCCTCACTGTACTGAAACACTTTCTTCCTGTATCATTGGGAATACAAGCAACTTTGAAAATTCTAGTATAGCTGGAGGGTATGTAACAATGTTACATACTTTTAAGATATAGAAGGTACTTCATCACAGGCAGACATTTCATGAGGAGAGCATGAGGTGCTGAGTTTGTTAAGATGTCCCACTAAGATTTGAATTGGGCCTATGTGGTATTGTGGCTGTCTTTATGGAGGTTGGGCTTTGCTCATCTGTGCCAGGTAACATGCATCAGCTGCTCATTTCAGACAGGAATTACTGACTTAATCTCTGATCAATTATGGTTAGATAGAGAGGTGGTCTTCCCCATAGCAGGGAAAGGCTCAGAGCCAGCCATTTTATAGGAAGGAACTGAACTCTTAAGTTAGTGGGGATAAAAGACTCTTGGGCTTCATATTCCGCAGACAAGTTAAAAGTTCACCACCCGTGTCCTGGTTGGCGCTGCTAAGGTCCTTGAGCCGCCAATGTGGAAAAGCACTACGAGTAGTACTTCCCTGACCTCAACCTCCCAACAGCACTCTCAAAACAGCATGCACCACATCCCTCATTTTTCTACAGTAGCTGAAGCATGAAATAAGTAAAGCTCATTTGCCATAAGCCTTAGTAACATACAACTCACTCCACTACTCCCACGGGAAAACTGAAGTAGCTGTTCCTGTTGCCACCCTCAGCAAACCATGGAGCACCACGACTACGGGCCTCAAGGGAGACTAGAGCTCTCATTCCAGTCGGGCCGCTGCTCCCACCACAACCTTCCCGCGTTAACGTGCGGCCGGTGCCGGCCGGCCATCCCAGGGAGGATCCGCGGGAACGGGACGGGACGGGACGGGACGGGACGGGACGGCCACAACCCCAACCCCTCCTCGGCCCCTCACAGGCGACAAGATGGCGGCCGCGGCCCGTCACGTGCCCGGCTCCGGCCGCGCTCAAGCGCGCCTGCGCGGCACCTCCCCGTGAGGGTGGTGAGAAAATGGCGGAAGCGGAGTGAGCGGCTTGTCCGAGGCGAGTCTCCCGGCGGGACGCGCGGAGGAGGGGGAGCAGCAGCGGCGGCGAGAGGCCCCGGCCAGGCCGCGGCGGGGCGGGGCGCGTAGGCGGGGACCCGCGCCCTGACAGCGCCCCGGCGGCGGGCCGGCCCTGCGCGGGGAGCGGGCGCCTCCCCTCCCGCCCACCTCCCCTCCCTCCCCGGCGGCGGCTGGCGCCTGCGGGGCTGCTGAGGGAGGAGAAGGGTGGTGGGGGGAATGGCGGCGGCGCTGGGCGGGTACGCGGCCGGCGGCGGGGCCGGGCCGGGTGAGGCTGCGGGCCGTTGCGGGGGGCTGAGGGAGGCGAGTCAGCCCGCCGGGCCCGGCCTGCGCCGAGGAGCAGCCCCTGAGGGGCCCGGGCGCTGCCCGTGGGGCTGCCCCCGCGCTATTTGCTGCATGCCGCTTCGCGGGCAGGTCACATCGCGTGGCCTGTTTCCACAGAGCGTAGTTTTAGATTTTCCTTTTTATTTTTTCTGTTTTAACAAAACCACACAACCTTAGGGTTTGGGCAAAGTCGGCCTGTAATGTAGCTAGAGCGAAGGGGAAAAGAGAGCATTTATTACTGAGCCTTCAGTCACATACAAAAATGCCTGCAGGAATTGGAGGAAATTTTCACTTATTTTCTGTGGTTTGTACCCTTGCAGTTGTAAGGAGAGGTCATGAATGGAAATAATGAGAATAAACTTTATTATGTTAAAAACTCACATACTTTCAAATAGCATTTGCAGATTTGTTAGCAGCGTGTGTTTGGTGTTTACCAGAAGTCAAACTTTCTAAAACATGAGTAGTGCCATTCATATCCACTGTGAAGGTAGTTTAATGTTATCGGTATAGAATAGCAAGTATTTTTTCTTTACTTTAGGTATTTGCTTTGGCCAAAAGAGAACAAAACTTCTGAGCATTTACATTATGCACAGTGTAACTTGAAATTATGTGGTGTTTCCTGTTACTGCTTGAATAAATACTTATTTTCAGTATAGTGTTCCCTTGTGCTTTGTATTTTGGGCTTGCTTAAATGTGCAGTGGTTGTTTAAAGTCAGAGTTCAGTGTGTTTTCTGAAACTTGCATTGCTTTACAGAGGTTCAACTTAAAGTTACTCAAAGGCAACATTGTTGTAAGGTGTTCATCATGCATCTAACAATTTTATTATAAGGGTTTTGCCTTTTTGATATCATAGAATACTCAGTGAACAATTTCAGAAGATTGTTTTCAGTTGTATCTGAGATTATTTTTTTTTTTTATAACCAGACATGGTCTCTGCATACACAGCATTGTAAATTAAAGCGATGCTGTAAAGGCAGTCTGATTTTTTAAGGTTGTAGTGGTTCTTAGGCTTTCTGTCATAAAATATCCATCTGCTAAATTGTAATGGATTCTTAGTTCTCTTGCTAAAAACAACCACTTTTTATGTATTTTCTCTTCATCCTTAAACATTCCATTTCTCACTTAGAGGGGAGAGGTTTCTAACAAGTCTCATCTGTTGAAACACTGCTAGTCCTTCAGCCGAAAGAGGGCAAGCTATTTCTGCATGTTAGTGCTGTGTTGCGTGGTGTTGTGTTGTGGTAGGGCAGCGGGGTGACAAGTGTCGCGTGTCGGCTCTGAGGTGTTACAGGCGGACTGGGGAGGCACCTCAGTACCAGGCCGCACTGAACAAAAGTTTAGCTCTTTTGTGTTTTCATTGTACGACCACTGCGGGAACAACTTGGGCAATGACAGCACTATTTTTGAACATGAGACACTTTCAGCTAAAGGATTAGGAGCTCTCATGGGGTGAACTTCTGATGGAATAGCTACTAGAGTGGGATACATTGCACATCTCGCTAATAATATGTCTAAAACATGGCTGAGAAAGAAGGAAATTAAACATCCAATGTTTTCTTAGGCTAATCTGACTGGTTGCATAACTCTGTTAAAACTAGCTAGACAAGTTGTAGGTGTAAATATTTTGATGTGCTTTTAATGTACTCTGGAGGAGACAGGACTTTTTTTCAAGATACTTTTCATTAGCATTATGTAAAATTAATGTAAAGTGGTTTTAGAAGTGGTGCCGTTTTTATTGCAATTGAAGTGGTTAACCATGTATATTAACTTGTGCTCTAACGTAGGTAGACAAATGGCATCAATAATGCACAAGAGATCTGAATTTTTAACATCAAAGCCATATTTTTTCTTCAGTTCTAATGGTAGGGATGTCTGCTTTTAAAATGTGGTTTATTACCATGATTTTTCTTTGATGGTGAAACATATGCAGATGTACAATAGAATGAGAAGTGTGAGGTCCTGATGTGACTGTGTATCTGTTAAAAGTTTAGCTGTCCTAAGTCATCAGGAGCTACAGCATCATGTCCAGTTCTCTACTTGCAAAGTAGTCATGTTGTGAGAAGTGATGGTAGCAACCTGGCAGCATTGCATTCTGCTTTCAGCTGTGTGAGTTGAAACTCCTAATTACATTCCTGTTTGCAGCATCCAATGGGCGGTTTGTAAAGCACTTAGCAATGCTGCTTTTTTTCTAGTACATTGCAGTGCTCTCTGTTAATTTTCTGAGCCCTTTTTTTATTGTAAGAAGGAAACACATCTCCCTACCTGTTTTTTTTTTTTACATCCTTTTAAAAGCAATAAACAGCAACTATGCTATTTCCTGTTAATCATAATACTAATACTGAAAAAGAAACTAAAGTAAACACCCCTCATATATTGAGATATGAGATTAATTTCCTTTCTAAAGACAATGTTTTGAGAGAGAGAATGTACTCTGCAACAGAGGGAAGTCTCATAAGGCTGGGGAAGAATCATCAGAGATGCATAAATAGGTAGTTTCTTCCTTGACTTATATTTTGGGAGGTATTGCTGTAAAAAGTAAAAGCATTTTTCTCTACATCTTATCCATCCCTTTCCAAATAGGGCATGCTGTTAGTGATTTTTGCCAGGACCATTTTACTGAATGTACATAATGGTCAGCCAGCACTTTCTTGGGCTGTGCTGTGGGGAAGAGGGATGTGACAGTACTCCTGTGTAGCTTGCTGAATATCTTGTATGTATTCCTAAATTGGTTACCTATTGCTATTCTTGATGAATCCTGGAAGATTATAACCATGTCTCTCAAAAAATTCCATCAAGTAATAGCAAATGCTGCAAACTTTTCCATTTGAAAATTGTCCAGTATTCTATCTTGGCGAAGTTTAGATTTTTTTTTTTTTTTTTTTTTTTTTTTCTTCTCTTAAATCAGTGTGTACTAGCCTTCTGTTTGATAACCACTTTTATTTCAATCCTGCCAGGCTGAATGAACATTGTACAGCTATGGAGAATGAACCAAACACAACAACATGTTCTGCATCTACAACTACTATCACTACCACCTCCACTTCCCGGACACAGCTACCGCAGATCTCTGTCTACAGCGGCTCTGACAGGCATGCCGTCCAGGTACTGGGCTAGGAGATATTCTTTCTTGTACTGTACAGTGCTCTCAAATACAGACACTGCACCATACTTTACATAAGATCAACTTTACATTCTTAATTGCTGTCTGCTTTCTCAATATCTGACTTACTGGTTTTCAGAAGATACCGTTTACCGAAGAGTATCAGTCCACCTAAAAGTAGTGCAGGGTACAGACCTGCCTCCCAAATAAGGGAGGGGGAAATGCTATGCTAGAAAGTTTGGGGTTTTTGCCATTCTGTAAGGGTATGGATTATTAACATAAGACTTGACAAAATAACAGAAAATAAAGCGGTTTGTTTGACCAGCATTGACTACAAGGATCCAGATGTATCTGTGTGTGCGTGTGTGTAACTGCTGCTTTGGATCCAGATCCCTTTTGCTGTTCTTTAAATCAGGTCTCCTCAAACTCTGTACGGTCCATTCTGTTGGGTTTGATAACTGAGTCTCTCACATGCTATCCTGATCTTTCAAGAAGCAGAAGGCTATGTAGGACTTGTTGACAAGAACCTAGGAGGCTTGGATGTTGTGTTATGAATGATGCTGTATTGTCAGCTGATTGTCAGGCTTTCCTTGAAAATGTGAATATATTTGTTAACTGTAATCTGTGACTTGGTTGAGAACAGTGATGGAGCAAGTTCAGTATTACATAATTGGTGTGAAAAGAATTGATTTGGTTTTATTTCCTTGTAAAGGTAAACTTCAGCATCATGTCAGCATGGTGTGTACTTTGTAATTGTAATTAATTACCTACTAATTCATCACAGGTTATTCAGCAGGCCTTGCATCGTCCTCCTAGCTCAGCTGCTCAGTACCTCCAGCAGATGTATGCAGCCCAACAGCAGCATCTAATGCTGCAGACTGCTGCTTTGCAGCAGCAGCACTTAAGCAGTACCCAATTTCAGAGTCTGGCAACTGTACCACAGGTGAGAGCGAAGATTGCTGAAAAAGAATGGTGTACTACTTCCTAGCATAGGACTACAGTTCTAGAGCATTGTCAAAGATGATAATAACAGCTTAAGTGCCTGAGCTTAACGCCTCACAATAATTCACTGTTATATTTTAATGATTTTGTTATTTTAAATTGTATCTTCCTCCAAACTATTTGAAGGATTTTGTCCAGTGTTAATAGATGCTCCAATAGGCGACCATTCCATGCTTTATTGCATACATTATAATGCATCATGTAAATCATCAAACAGTAATAAAATAAATATTAAAAATAGGCTACTTCAATCTTTATCACATGAGTTTCTCTAAAAGTTGATGGGGAAAGCAATGAATAGCAATGTATCTTAGTGAAATCAAATAAAAGTAATGAACATCTGGTATCTTAGTGTGTTTTGCCACACATCTGGCTGCATTATAAATAATGGCAAAATTCAATTTTAACTCTGAGTGTGGAAATGTAGGAAGTAAATGACATTTCATTTCTGAAGCACAGCTTTTAACATTAGTGGACACTGGAGGAGACCCATTTTGAAAACTCAAGCAATGGAAAGATTTCCCTTGACCTCAGTTGACCTTGGATTTTGAATAGAGTCTTGCAGAGCTAGGTGGTTGTTAATGACTTTACACATGGAAATGCTGAGATGGAGTTACAGACCTCAGGGATGTAGCTGTTTTTTGTCAGAACTGTGACTGACTCTTCTATGATCCTGGCTTTTCCTTCTATACCTTTTCCATTAGATCATGGTAATATATTGATCGGTCATTTTTTTTGTGATGGATTTGTGTGTGCATATACAGTTACTGAGACAGCAAAGAAAATCAGTTTGAGAAGAGCTAAGAAGTTTTGGTATGCAATCTGTTAATACAGAAATCTAAATCACTGTCCCTGTGTTCCTCTGAAGGGCTGGAATAGTGTACAGTTATAGACACTAGATGGGCATACATAAATTATAATTCTAGAATATAAGGGTGTTCTTTGTAGCATTTATAAAGTTTTTTTTATTTTTCAAGGATTCTAATCAGAATAAAAATGATGTGAGTTTTAATAATGACAGTTTTAATGATGTCACATTTTAAGATCTGAGCACCATAGGTAGTGAGCTGATCAGTTAGCTCCATCATTAACAATTTGATAGGCTTTACCTCTGGTAGATATTTGTTCAAGTCTTCATCTGCAAGAATCTGAGTGCCTGAAATTGGGTAGGAATTCAAGGCAATTAGCACCTTGCAGATAGCATTCTGTAGTGCAGAGTGCACTTTGCTGAAAACTAATTCCACTGAGTAAAGCATTTTTACTGTTAACTCACAAAAAAGGTAATGGTAGGGAGGGATGTTTCTGATGGTTTATGCAATAATATGAACATCACCTAAACACTTTTTGATTTCAATATTTGACACATATTCTTGCTATTTAGGCAAGCCTGTCAGGTGGGAGGCAATGTACTTCCCCCACTGGGAGTGTCACTCAGCAGTCAAGCATGTCGCAGACCTCGGTACGTAACTGAACAAAGCCCTCCATCCATTCTCAACCCTTCTTGGTTATATAATAACTACTTGGAAAAGCAGAAAAGATTTTACTATTTAAGCTTATATGGTTAAAATCAGTATTACAGAAACAGTAAATATGTAAGTGTTGGCTGTGCTTCCAGCATCCAACAGTCATCCTGATGCGTGCTGCCAGCTGCTGTCGTTGCTGGCCAGCGTTGGAGGCTTCCCTGGTCCCAGCCTGCTCGTGGTGCTCTGAGGGGCAGTTGCTCACTCCACAAGCACTGTTCAGACCTCTGCAAGAGTCACTCCCTGAGCTTTCATCTCGTAGAGGATTTCTTAATAGATTTTTCATATTAGTTTCTTTATTCAGGAGACTATTGTAGGTTAAAGTCGGTAACTGTCATAAAGTCAAATCTGTGTATTAGTGATTACAGAGCACCAAATCTAAAGTATCTAAGTCAATGCTCACATTAGATATATGAAACTGATTGTTTATAGCACTCATTCCTTTATTGATTGTCATCTTCTATCATACATCTTTTATGCACTTTCAGTTACTTTATCCATATTCTAGGCATGTGCTCAGGTTTCAGTTATTAGCAGCTCTGTGTTCAATTCATGCTGTATTTCTTTAAGTGGCATCTTCAGACATATAATTTGCACAGTCTCTTATGTACAGTTCTACAGTTGTCTCCAGTAGGACTTTGTTAGTCCTGCAGACATCCTGCTTGTTAATCACGCCCTCAAGCTGTTCATGACTTCAGTGCATAGCTTCAGTGATTTAACTGTATATTTTTTTTTCTAAGCTCTCATAGCATTGCTTTGGCTTACAGTTGTTAGAAGTAAAATCATTAATTCATTAAATTTAGGAGGGAAAGTCTTTAAAGATGTCTGATGTTAAACTAACAGAATAATTGGGATGGGATTTTTCAAGGAAATCTTTTGAGTAAGTGATGAAAAAGAGCTGGGCACTTAACTCTGTTAGACTGGTCAGAAAAAAAAAAATAAAGAAAAAACCCAAACCAAAACCACAGCATCTTTTTGTTTGAGAAGATGCTAAAGTGCAATTGTTGAGGAGCATTTGATATGAAATCGTAGAAAGTTTTAGTCTCCAGTCACTTTTAAATATGTATCTGTAGAATGAGGAATCAAAGTCTATATATGGCAGCACAAAGGAGTGTCCTGATCAGGTTGCATAACAAGCATAAGAGAAGATATCAGTCCAGTCAGGTAATATAAACATTTAAAGATGCTTAAATATTAAAATTCAGATCTTTTTCTTAAAATATCACAAGCTTATGCTACATATTCTGTAAATTTCTATGAGGTATATTTTTCAGACTTCATAATAACATTGTTTATACTCCTAACTGGTTATTATTATTATTTACTGCAAAGTAGGTGCTTGCAGTTTAACATTGCAAATGTACAGTCTTGCCAGAATCCAGTTTTGTGATGATTGGCTCAATATATTTTTGATATCTTTACAGTTCAGAGGTTTCAACTGCCCCTGCCATTTTTGTCAAGGCTTTCTGGCTTTAGACCCTAGAATGAATGAATTTCCATGACAGAAGCAATATTTTTGTTTCCTTAGATTAACCTCTCCACCTCTCCTACACCTGCACAGATAATAAGCCGTTCACAGACCTCCAACACCACCAGCAGCAGTATTACCCAACAGACTATGTTGCTGGGGAGCACCTCTCCAACCCTGAGTGCAAGCCAGGCTCAAATGTATCTACGAGCTCAAATGGTAAGTTTTGATTACAATTCTGAAGCTTGGTTTTGGTCTGTCCCTGTTGTCCCCACACCATATCCCCCTAACCCTGCCAAAAAAACCCCACGCCTTAACTGTGTCAGTTTCTATTTTGTTTCTATAAATTATTTACAAATATTTTTCTTAAGTTTCAGATAGCATTGAGAATTTAGTCACTAATTTGTGCATACGTACCTTCTGATACACTGTAAACATCAGAAGTAAAAGGATTGCTATCTCTCGTGAGGTTTGCTCAAGTGTTTTTAGCCTGGTTGTGCTACAATTATTAAATTGATCAAATATGGGAAAAATAAAAAAAAGCACAACCGTCTTTTCTGTCCGTGTAGAAGGGCATACTGGAGTTTGTCTGTATTCAAGGTAGATGGTTTCCCAATGCACTGGTAGCATTCAGAATTCCAACTCTTGATTTAAATCTTCTTATATTTAACGAAGATTGTTCTTTGTATTATTGTCTCTAGAATTTGAGTTAATACGTAGCTTTCATTCTCTTTGGATTCACATGAAACTCGTGAGTCTTGCAATTTCCCATCAGTATGGCATTTCCAGTTCCTAATGGGCTACTTTGAAAAATCTGTTTAGTGATTTTTTTTTTTTTTTTAATTTAATACTTTCTCTAGTGAGTTGCATATGAATTGAACCTTACAATCTGTGTGAGATTTTATAGAAATTACTGAAGCAGTACGTAAATGCTCAAGTACCAATCAGTACTTGGTAAAGGCCAAAGACTCTATTACAGCTTGTGTGAGTTAACGACCAGAGCTTTCTAGTGTTACGTTCAACAACATGAAGTAGGAAGAATCATTGTTACACTACACTGAGGTTTGGAGCCAGAGGTTCGTGAATGCAGTGGTATATAAAATTAGATGCAAGTGTGAGTTCTTGCAGGAATTGCACCAAAGTAGTATCTTTGGGAAAAGGGTCCTTTGTTCTCTTTCTAAGATTTTTCATAGGCATGCACAGCAATGCTGTTGTGCTATGTTGTGTGTTTTTCTTTGGCTACTGTTTTCATATATGTTTATTGAAAACGTATTATAACTTGAAGATAAGGATTTAAAGATCAAACACCTCTTTATCCATTGCCTAGTGAAAGGATTTCTTGAGTCTCTGATTTGTAAACAAAACTAGATGCTGAATGCACCTAGTACTATTTAACAGAACAGGAGTTACCAATTCATTTCATGTCACTGCCTTTCAAGGTGTTTTAACAATTTAGTAGCTGAAGCAATATGAGGATGATGTGGCAGGTTTTTGTAGTAGCAATCTCTATAGCCTGGATCATGGATACAGTTTTCTTGTTCATTTACACTACATTTTCATCCAGATTCTCAATGTCAAATCCCATGCTTCTTTGAATAACTGCTTTACACTGCAGTTGCAAGAGAGAAACGTAACCTATTAGTTTCTGTTCAGAATGCTATTGCAAGAACATATTGCTAGCCTTAGTAGTTCAAATATCATACCTGTCTTTCAGTGTTTCTAGCTAAAATACTAGAAGTCATGTATTTTTCTTCATCACCAAGACCTTTCTTTTTCTGTAAAAAAGGTCAACTCTTATCTCTAACTAGCTCATAACAACAGCTTCATCACCAGCTCAATTAATTTCCAGATAAAAGCCTTCATGTTTTCTTCTTAACTGCTCCTTGAATTGAGATGTCTTTAAAAATATGGAAGACTAACAAATGGTCTTTCTTCAAAGCCTTCCATAAAGTTTGTTTTTGCTATATTGCCTATAAAGAAATTAATGATAGTTAGGTATGCTGGTGTTCTGAAGTTAGTCATTTCAGGCTGGTTGTATGATACCTGTTCTTGCTATGAAACTTAATTGGCACAGTTAAAATTCATGTAACAACTCTGCTTGTTAAATAACATTTTGACACACTAGAAGATACATGTTCTCTTTCTTTAATATGGTAGATATTGGGCTGCTCTTGTGATTTTTTTTTTTTCCTTTGTTTCACTCATTCATAATATTGGAGGGAAAGTCTTACTTAAAATGCTTGTATGAAAGATGATGAGTGTGTACATATATGAAAGTTTTCTCAATATGTAGAAAAAATATTTTACATTATTATTTTACATTATTATTATTTTCAGTGTTATTTGTTTAAGCTACCGTGATAAATTCTTCTTTGAGTAAGTTCATCTAAAAGTAAAAAAGTAAAGCTTAGAAGCTGTACCTCACTACATGTAAGTTATGTATCTCTCTTTAAAACACTGCATTTCTTTCAGTATTTTCAAGGTTTCAGACTGTTAACAGATACTTTTTTCTTGCTTAACAGCTTATTTTTACTCCTGCGACCACTGTGGCTGCTGTCCAGTCTGACATTCCTGTTGTCTCATCATCTTCCTCATCATCTTGTCAGTCTGCAGCTACTCAGGTAAGCTTATGTAAATTTAATAAAGGTATGTCCTTGGGTGAGTCCTATGAGTGAGTGGGCCAAAACTGAAAAGTAAGGAAACTTTGTGCTTAAGTTTACTAATAAAAACTATTAATGGGTACTGGTTATGTACAGCTTCAGTGCCTTCTGTTTGCCATCACCACACATTTAGAGGTGATCATGTTACGTGTAAAATTTGGATTCTGGATATGACATTTTAGCTCTTTATGATTAGCTCTCATCTTTATTACCTTGAATAACTTCATGTTATCAGCTGAACTTATATCACCTTTTCACTGCACGACATACTTGTTTATCATCTGGAAAAAATATATGTCATTGTACAGATCATTTACAGAACATATTAGTCAGTCTTCCGCTGTGAAAAGTGAATATTTATCTAATAAATTTATGCTGTCGTGAGAGATCTTCTATTTTAGCAGTTTATTTAAAAGCCTTTGATAAACAGACCTTATTTAGAAACCTTCTTGAAATCCAAGTAAATTATACCAGTTGAATGTTCTCTAACCTTATGTTTGTTGACCCCTTCAGAAGATTCTAATAGATGTGAAGACCTTAAAGATGTGTCAGTGTTCTGAGATAATGGTAAATCATTGAAGTTTGTCTTCCCTTTGCTTTTCCAGTAGATATGTGAGTTGGGCAGAGCTTGCTGGAATCTAGCTGTGTATTTATGCAGGGTGTTGAGCAAGCTCACAATGTTAAGGTCATCAGTTGAGCTTTTGTTGAAAAGTCAGACTACTCCTTCAGTCTTGGAGTTACCACGCTTCATTATCCTTTATCACAGCTGCCTCTTTTTCCCTCCAGATTCTGCACATCAAGTTTGAAAGTGCAGAGAGGTTACTGGACTGGCTAGCAGCTCTTTTTGCATCTGTATCTTTTTCAATCAAGGTAGAGATGTCAATAAAGTGTATCACTTTACAGTCTTGGTCCTTCTGTACTGCAGGGTTTTAGAGGTCCGTTTTGCACAAGTCTGCCTGGCTGTGCAACTTCCAGAGACATCATTGGAGAGGGATGGAAGAATCTCACCCCAGACCATTGAGCATTATTCAGTCAGTTGAGCTGCTGTGGTGGCACTGCCAAACTCAAGCCCTTCCTCTACCCTCTCAATGTTCAGTATTGCCCTGTTGCCAGATGTTGTTAACTTTGGTTGTCTGGTAGTTTCTATAGCAGCGGTGACATTGCAAAGATCCAGTTTCATCTGTAGTCAGTGATGCAATGGAAGAGCTTAAACACTTCATTTTCCTACCTTGGGATAAATATGTCCCTGTGGTTTCAGTCAGCTGGGCTAGAGAAGTGTCTTCGTTTACCATATCAGCAAACCTGAGCAAGTAGGCAATGCTAGTTAATAAGGAAAAAAAAAAATCTGTTTATATACATAGATGTGTATATTACACTTAGCCAAGATGTTTGTGAAGGTACGGTGTAGTGATCTCACAATATCATCTTCCATGTAGAAATACCAGAGAAACTCGGAAGTTTATCAATGATTAGCAGTGTCTCAGTGTCACCCCTAACACGGCCTGTTAGGTGAACTGATGCTTCTCTCCTACTTATTCTTCCTCCCTTCTGTTTTCATACTTCTTTTCTTTTCGTATGTTTCCCCCTCATGTATGACCTGGACATCTCAGATTAGTTACCTTATCTGCTAAGGTGTGCTGAAGGTTAATTTGTACTCACAGAGATAGGATTGCAGTAAATGCCTCATGCATGCCAATTAGGAAACAAACACTGTTGTCTTCAGAACAGGATTTGAATGTATCCTGTGGTAACACACTCAACAGCGAGAAGTAAAATGTAAACTAGGTGTTCATTACACAAGTAAGAACTGTTGAATGAGGAAGGGATTATGTAATCAAAATAGTGGATGCTGATAACAAGTAGTCGTCTTTTTCATGTAAAGTATAATGTAAATTAGTGCTACAAGGGTAGTCTTTATTCTTGAAAATAAAACTAGCTCAGCATGCAGGATTGGAAAGCTAGGATCATTATGTACAGAATCTGGCTGTGATATAACAGACATTAGTGAAAGTAATCACTGACTGATTTACATTTCAGAAGGCAAACCTTTTGCTTCATGTCACATCGGAGGTGTCATGATGAAAAGGTACATTAATACCACTGTAGAAAAAAAAGACATGGATAACATACAGCAGACTCTGGTCCCATTGACTACCCAAGGCTCTGGTTTATGTTAGTCTCTGGAAGCATACTTATAGACCACTTCTGCGGCATCTGTATAAAAATAAAATTACATTTGCTTAAGATGCTTTGTCATTCACTTTGAAGGCACAATAAAAGAGAAAAAAAATGCAGTTTTTAATTCAAATTAATGTAATGTTTAAAAGTTCGATAAGAAAAAGACTTTCATGTATTTATCAGTGAAGTAATTCAAGATCCATATTCTCTAAATTTCGTGGCTTAAAAGATATGCATATTTTTAACTTCTCATGTTTTTTGATCACATGGGATGAGAAGTATTACATAATGTTTTTTTTTTCTGTGTTTTTTTGCCTGGATGTTTGTCATAGATGTTTATATGGTTTGGGTTTTTTATGTTTCGCTCATTTCCCAGGTTCAGAACTTGACCCTGCGCAGTCAGAAGTTGGGTGTATTGTCAAGTTCACAGAATGGCCCACCAAAGAGCAGCAGTCAAACTCAGTCATTGTCTCTGTGCCCTAATAAACCTGTAACCAGTTCCAAGGGCAGCCAGCCAGATCCCTCAGAAAGCAATAGAAAAGGCGAGAGCCCAACTCCAGAGTGTCGGAGTACACCAGTCACACGGACATCAAGCATACATCACTTAATAACACCAGGTGGGATGAAAATGGAGCTATAAGAAAGTCATTTTAGTATGTTTGTATGTTTTGGTTCTGTCAGAGTCCAATGCTCTCAGACTGGGTTCCTTTAGATATTCCACTTTCATAGTGTTTAATGTTTAATAGTAAATTTACTTATTTGTTGATACTGGATGTTACACGAGATTTTGTTTTAGCAGAGCAATACAGCAGTGTTCTTAAATCACAATACAAGCACAATATAACAATTGCAATACAGAACTGATCCACAGTACAAACATGATTCTCATTACTCGTCTGTCTGTGTGGTCATTGTCAGACATGTCATCCCCAGTCTCTGAGAAGCAATACATGGGGTGAAATCACCTCAAGTCTCTTGCTGTCATCAAAATCCATAGGTAGTAGTGCCCCAGAATCTTGGGGTTTTGTATTGAGAGAAATCAAAATAAGGGTGCAGTTGGTTAGATAAGCACTTACATTGCACACAATGTATTTGCATTTTAGCTTCCTTATTTTGAAAGAGTAAGGATAGTCTAGATAATTGGTCTGAATTCTGTGGAATTTAGTTTGGCTTATCGGCAGCTTTTAGAGAAAGAGTAAGACTGTGAGGCAAACATTCTTGAGGTGTTGAGCCCTAATGCTCTTAGAACTCACTTCTACAAGGAAAAAATCCATCTTTGCTAGCAGAATAAATAATAAAAAGGACAGTTGTTTCTGAAGTAGGAAAGACAAAGCAAGAGGTTTGCATGTGGAGGAAAATACATGTGTGTGTGCTGTAAGGAATTACTAGTGAGTCACTGGTTCGCTTAAAGGTGATGTGATAGCTCTGGAAGCTGTGCTGTTTTCAGATTCATACCTTTCAGTTTTATGTTCAAGTTCTGGAAAGTACTTTGCAAGGTTTCAGTTCATACTGAACTCTTGTAATTTTGTTTAGTCTCTTTAAATTTTATTACCTAAACTTTAACTTAGCAGTTTTCAACAAATGCTGTTGATTTTAACATGCTTATGTCTTCGTTCCAGTCTGTTTCAAAGCAAGGGTTAAATCCATTTAAAGTTGCATGAAATTCTTAAATAAGCAAAGGCTGGGTCGGCAATAATCTTAGGACTATCACCAAAAAGATAGGTTTAGATACTTTTATATAGAAAGTACATATATGTGTCTATATATGTAAAAAGCATGGCTATGTTCCTTTAGTCAATGCTGCATTTTGCTTTGGAAATTTACATATTCCCCTAATAAATTGTTCTCGTGTACTGTATGCTGTCAAAGAAGATATTTCTTTTAATACTTTTAATAATGTTCTTTGGACTTAAAGAAATAAATACTAATTGTCAAATTTTTCCCCCCCTCACAGCTTCATATTCTCCATTGCAACCTCATTCTCTAGTAAAACATCAGCAGATCCCACTTCATTCGCCACCTCCAAAGATTTCCCACCATCAGCTGATATTGCAACAGCAGCAGCAAGTCCAGCCAATTGCACTTCAGACTCCGTCGGGTCAGGAACCCCCTCCATCACAGCACTGTCTACCACTTCCAAGCCACGGTCTTCCTCCGGGTCCCAGCAGTGTCCAGTCTCATTGCTCACCTATTCACATCCATCCTCCACCTCTGACACTATCTCCTACTCCATCCCAGTCAGCTCAGCAGTCAGTAGTGGTATCTCCTCCACCTTCTCACTCCCCAAGTCAATCACCCACAATAATTATTCACCCTCAGGCACTTATTCAGTCACAGGCAAACTCCCTCATGCCAACAGCTCTTCAGCCAGAGCAGACTGCTCCTCAGCAGACTACTACCAATCCAGTCCGACCAATTGCACAGCCACTCAATCTTCCATCACATCTTCCACTCCCATCTTCCCCCGCTGTACATATAGGGTCAGTAGATCAGCCCAGCTTAGTTTCCCCAGGCCAGCAGATTGTGTCCTCGACACCGCACCAGCAATATTCAGCCTTGCAGTCCGCACCTATCCCTCTTGCAGCTCCTCCTCAGCTGTCAACATCTTCAACCCAGATTCAACCACTGCCGTTGCAGTCTGTGCAGTCTTTACAAGTGCAGCCTGAAATTCTGTCCCAGGGCCAGGTTTTGGTTCAAAACACTTTGGTTTCTGAGGAAGAACTTCCTGCTGCAGAAGCTCTGGTTCAGCTGCCATTTCAAACTCTTCCACCACCACAGACTGTTGCAGTAAATCTTCAGGTGCAGCCCTCTGTACCAATTGAAACTCCAGTGGTAAGTGGTAATATTGCAGTCCTTTATTGTTGGCTTCTCTAAAGAGCTGTAAATCTGGCCCGTTGACTTCAGGTGGAGCTAAACCAGCTGCTAGACACAAGACCAGAAGAAACCTATTGATTACAGAAATGGGTTAATAAAACACTAGACATTTTCCTCGTTTATTTTTTTGGCTTTGTAATGGATCATCAGTCAAGGATATCATCCAAGAATCATGAAAGTGCAACTTTTGGATCTAAAATCTTATCTCTTAATGAAATTGCAGTATATCTTAAGTTTAAAAAGCAAGCAAATACACGTCAATATTTACATCAATGAATTTTGATAAATATACCATATGGACTGTAAACTTCTACCTCTTTGTTAATCCAAATATAATATAGGCGATCAAAATTTTGAGTAGGAGAGTCATCTCTATATTAGGTGTGAATAATCTGTATAGCAGATTATTAAGATAAGAGTTCTGCATAATTAATTTTGTATTAACATTGGAAAAATCCCCTTCATAAAAGAATAGGGAAATTTTGGATGCTGGCTTGGTGTTCCCCATCATTGCCATTTAATTTAATTCAGTGTTAGTCTCAGACGTCTGCAGTTTGTAACTGAAGGTTTCAGCTTCATTCCACAAACTAAAATCACGTAAAGTGAAACAGCAGTGAAATAAAATGATATGCAGATAATGCTGGCACTTAAGATGGCATTGCTAGGCTTTAGTGGTAACATGCTAATGAGATTAATTTGAGCAAAAGAATAAACAGGTCTTGTAGGCTTCTTTCAGGCTACCAATGGGTTAAGGAAGAAAGTGTGCTGTTTAATTTATATTGAGAGGGTAGTAATGATCTCAACTCTGATATTTCATGTAGAAATTGGGTGAAAGAGTAGAAGCCAGGTTTGCTTTTGACAAGGTGGTGTTTGACATCTAATCTGCTAAACTGGTCAGTAATTCACGTAAATTTACTTTAATAGTTTTGAGGAAAATACCTTACAATCTCTTACAACCACTAATACTTGGTAGTCTTGGTGTACTTTTCTGAAATACTCAGTTTGATTACACGGCTATATAAGATAAAGAACAATTTTCAGGCTTGTCTTTAAGTTATAAAGCTTGCGTTCTGCAGAAGTGTTTAGCTACAAATGTGTGTGTGAATAAATATACAGTAAGCTGCACAGATGAGACATTGAAAAAGTTAAGTTCTCTGGTCTGTTTGATAGGAGGACTGTGCCTCTTTATAGTTTGCTATTTGTAACAAAGTACTTTAAATTGCTTTCATGGACATTGTGATGTCCCCAGAGTTCATTGTTTTGTATGCAGTTTGGCAACTAGAATTTTATTAGGATATTAGCATATTTTAACTGGTAATTTAATTTAAAGACTGTATTTATGCAACTCTTTTAAGGTGTTAAGATAGAATGGAAATCTCTCTAAAGCAATAGTTTGTTGGATGCAGATTTACCAAGTGGAGAATGTATGTGAAGAAGAGATGCCTGAGGAATCAGATTGTGTCCATATGGCTAGAACACCTACACCACCCACTTTGTCTCCACCAGCCATAACCTTGGGGAATGGAGAGGCACTTAATTCAGAAGATCCTTTGTCAGGTGAGAACAAAAGTCAGACTAAGGTGGTTGTTCTGCTTAGAAGCTTCTACTAGTTATTGATGTTTTACAATAAAAATCGATGATTTTGATCTTTTTTATAGTTTAGTGGTATCATTTTTTTAAGTAGCGGAAACTGTGTGAAATACATTAGAAATCCATGTGATAGAGCAAATGATTCAGTCCCAAAGGTGTAGCTCATATATGTATTTGGATAATGTAGCACAGAAAATGCTTATTTGAGCTCTTTACCACATACTTTTATACTAAATCTTAACAAGAGTGTCAATCTCCAGTTAATCTTTGTGATAGCTGTGTGACATGGGCAAAATATGCTGACTGATCTGGTGTGAAGTTTAATTTTGCAGAATCAGGGTCAGCAATCAGATATTTCTGTCATAACGGTTGACTACACTGTATGATTCTTTTTGGCACCATTTTTTTTAATATGCCACAATAAGGAGCTGTTCTAATGCAAAAGCTACCGATGAAAATTTTCTTTAGTGATTTATAAGATATACAAACCTGCATTGGTGGTTGTCCTGCAGACTAATGTAGCTTGCCCAGTGAGCTAAATATACAAATATATTTTCTATATATTGTGTGTATATACATAGATATCCTATACATATAACTGGGTGCTTAGTGGCTTGATGTTGTACATACTTGTGACCCTGCAGGTTACTGAAGCTCAAAGCATCCCTGAAAATAAATTTTCTCTTTAGAAATACCTCAGCTGCTCAGTCTTGAGACTCCGATATTTGAAAATACTGGTTTCTGCTTTTCACTTACAGATTTGTCATTTGTGTAAGTAATTAAAGGCTAACTATGCTTATAGTTAGTAGATACCGAGTGAAGGAAAATGTTTACATGACAACTGTTTGTGGAATAGCCTGTCAGGGAAAACCATCTTGTTTTGAAGGTAAAATCTATAAGCCATAGGGAAGAGCCTGTGTTACGGGATGATGGGTGCAGAGGTGGATGTTTATCACATCATAATTCTAGAATTCTGAGCCAACTGTTGGACATAAGTGATAAAAGCATAACGTACTTTGTTATTTTTTTTCAGAACATGGGGGACTACCTTCAGTGACATCATCAGTCAGTGCCTCAGTAATTAAATCTCCATCTGATCCCTCACATGCCTCTATTCCACCGCCACCTCTACTGCTTCCAGCAGCAACAACAAGGAGCAACAGCACGTCAATGCCCAACAGCATTCCTAGCCTAGAAAATAAACCTCCACAGGCTATTGTTAAACCACAGATCCTGACCCATGTTATTGAAGGCTTTGTGATTCAGGAGGGATTAGAGCCGTTCCCTGTAAGTGTAAAAGTTGCTATGATTTTTTTGCTACTAATTTTTGAAACAAACTGTTATGAAGGATGATGTTATTTGTGGCTGAGCAGCTATTTAGATCTTGAATCATTTTTCAAATGTTCATTTTGACCTTTTTTCCACTGATTAGTAACCTGTTTCTTACAACATTCAGTGTACTTGTATACTGTTTGTATTGTCTTGCATATGTAATCAGAATTCATGTTGTTGTTTGTCTGGCAAGTATCAGGGGATGACAAGGTACTAAGTGAAACGAGAGACACAGTTGAGTAAATAGGCTATATCTGGAGATAACTACAGGGTGTGATTTTAGGCTACCATTTTCAGTAACTTTATTTTATGCTTGTCTGTCTCCTAGATACCTCAGTTTAAGTGATACCTTAATTTAAACCTGAGATGAGTCTGTGTTAAAATTCCAAAATGTTAAAATTCTGTTGTTTAAAGCACTGGCAAGCCCCTTACTGAGCTTGGTGTGGTTAGTACTGTGTCTGGTAAGAATTACTGTTGATGAACATTTTAAATCCACAAATGGACAGTTTAAAATCTATGAGCCTGTCTTATTAACTAATCTAATGTGTCTCTCATTTTCCCATTCCTTCATTCCTCTAGATATATAATGTGTTTCTTCCTTTGTTAAATGTCATTGCAAACTCTGCAGAGCAGGAGTGAGTCTTTGTATTTGTTTGAGAAATGGTATTTAGAGCTCTGGCACTATATAATAATGATTCATTGATACAGAATATAAACCATGATTCTAGTCTCGTCTACAAGTGCTAAGCTGCAAATACTATTTTCAGTTATTCATTGTTCAGTTAATCACTGTTGCTTTGCTTTTATTGCAATAGGTAAGTCGTTCATCTTTGCTGGTAGAACAGCCTGCAGAAAAAAGATTGCTAGTGGAGGGTCAAATCATGAGTGTTGTGTGTGTTGAATCAGACTTGCAGAATACAAAACATGCAGACAACTCATCGGACACAGAGATAGAGGATATGATTGCAGAAGGTTTGTAGTTTTTGTTTAAATACTCTCCCCCCCTTCACCCCATCAGTTCTGGATGCATTACAGAATCCTATCCCGTCTGTACTTCTGGAATCTTTCTCTACTCTTTACATTGTCTCTAATAGAAACTATTTTCAAATGTTTTTTTACTAGTTACACATCATAACAGCAGTTGCTGTAGCTACACACAAATGTCAAGAAACTATGCATTTGTCCTGTTTAGAATATAGTGGTCTCTGGCACAACTCGTGAGCTAAACCGAGTTCCCCATGCAGTATCTGACATAATCATGGTCATGGATTTTTTTAGAACTCAACAATCAATTATTTTGGATGTGCTACACCAGTATTACTGTTCAAGCCCAAATGTATGTAGCCTCATGAGTGTTATGAAATGGAAATTAAACATGGCCTGGCCTAGAAAAGCCAAATTATTCTTTAACTCATGTGTTTGTATAGATTCATCCAAGATTGCAAAGTCTAGAATTTTTCAGTCACCTCTGGATTTTTCTCTTCCACAGTTTGAGCAATTGCACAGGAACTACTTCTGGTGATGTTTAAATTTGTCTTAATATGTAAATCTTGGTTTCATTCTCTTAAAATAGTTCTTTTCCCTCTTTCATATCAAACATGAGCAGGATAAGAAGGGTCAAATACGGTGCGTGCTACTGCCACAGGTCTGTGTCAGGGAAGTGGCTGGAAAAAGTCAGGACAGCATGTCCTGAGCAATAGCAGGTGTTGCTGTAGCTGTGCTTCAACTATTTCCCATTCCAGACATTGTAAATTGTCACTTAATTAAAACAGTCCATCCCCTTGAGCTTTTTTTCACAGGAACTTTCAAGATAGCAGCACCAATAGCAGTTCATTAGTTACTGTGGTTTTTGCCTTGGTGAATGGCACTGAAGTGCAATAGGGAAGTTGGCTCCATCCATTGTGTATCTCGGTGAACAAATTTGCTCAAAATTCAGTCTTTTAGATTATTAGATTCTGATAGATTATTTTTTTACTTCAATGATTGATATCCATTGCTGCTTATAAGTGTATTGGGTCAGACCCAAATCAAGGATTGCAGACAAGGTAAAAAGCTTGCTTTAGAAAACATTACGAATTCAAGAAGAGTATTTGTTGCTAGTGAAACCAGGTAAACATGGTTGGAATTTTTGCTTAAGGCTGATTTACTTTACCACTTAGGCAATATGTATCCCATCTTAAAATTAAGAGTATATTTTTAGGAGAAGCTAGTTTAGCTTGGAAGCACATCACTGAAAGGAAATATTGATGGGTTGCAGTCCTCTTCCATGTTGATGTACCATCTGTGCAAAGATGTCAGAATCTGTGGAAACAGTGCCTGAAAATGAAACATAAAACACAGGATTTCCTAAATTATGGCTGGTCATATGATTGCATTTACTAGTATATCTCAGTATAGTCCAGAGCCCTTCTCCATTTTGCAGTAACAGCCTAGTTTAAGCAGTGGCAGATATTTGAAGTGCTTTGCTTTGTAACTGTAACTTGCTTTTGATTATGTTGTAATTAAGTTATCTACATAGAAAAATGAAGAAACAATTTTTACAGAGTCTCTTTTTAAAATATATTACACAATATTCTACTGTAAAATAATTTGAGGTGCATACCTTACTCTTCACAAACCCCCACCCAGTCATGCCAGACTAAATTTTAGAAGGCATTATTTAGAAGGCATCTGACATATTAATAGTGGAGGGTTGCAGTCTGGCTGGAAGTTTTCTAAACCTTTGTTTAATGTAATTTAAAATTGCTATTTTTTTCTCAGTGAGGGCTTCCATTTAACCAGTTCTTTGAGAGGGAATTCCAGTGACATGAAGGCATCAGGCACAAGAGGCTTTAAAAACAAAAAAGTCATCTGGTAAATTCTATGACTGACATTTTTTTGGTTGTTTGACAGCTCAATGGAGTTATACTACTTTTCTACACACAAAATGAGGTTTGTCCATCTCTTAGCTCATGACTGTGCTTAGTAAATTGCGTTGTAAATTGATATTAAATGAACTTGCTTTCCTGATCAAGAGTACAGCTTTTTTTAATACTTTATTTCACACAGGATGTTTCTAACAAAATAAACTTTTTGCTGTGTGGTGTAGCTTCCAGAATATTTGAAGCTCTGTTTGCAATAGTTATTTTGCCCTTAATTTGTTACAGTAGATCTTAATTTAGTTTTCGATAGTATTCCCTAAGAACTTTTCAGTATTAATGCTGTGTTGTTTCTTAGATTTCAAACAGCTTGTCTGTTGTTATATTAATTTATTCAAACATTCATGGTTTTGTTTTTAGTTACTGTTCCTGAAAGCTGGTGTTAGGTTTATGTACACAATTTGCATCAACTCATAAGATGAGCTAGTAGGAACCATCCAGCATTGAGAGACATCCCTATATGCAGAAGTTGAGCAAAGGCAATTTTCTAATACTAAACCAGGGTATGATTGCATGTATGGTTGAAACATCTAATATGCAAAAGAAAAGGCTCTTAGCATCACTTTTTGTTTCACTCAGTTGTCACTTTTTTTCCATATAGGATGACATGGATTGAGATTGAGGGGTTTTTGGTTTGGGTTTTGTTTTGTTTGAGTGTGATTTATTTGAAGGATGCATCTCTGGTATTGAACTTCAGTTGCAATGTTGGTCAGGTCTGATGTGTTTCCAATTTCCAGTTTTTACTTTTTGTGTGATACCAATTTATTAAGTTGGAGGCTTGCAACATGGTGATTTTCAGTCTGATGCTGCCAGAGGATTTGTTGACTTTAGTTACGTCTGAGTCCTGATATATCAGCTAGGTTATTCGAATACCCTTTTCAGAATTTTCAGCTGTTTGATGTGCCGGTACTATTTTGTTACCTTGTCAGTACATTAGTTAGTGTTAGCAAGCAGTTTAGTGAGTTAATGTTGCTATAACAGACTTAGTTAAAATGTTTCAATTAGCCTGACACCTGCATTTGCATTAGTTGGTGTCAGTGCTTACAAAGAGTTTAGAACAAAAAGCTAGTTTGCCATTTTTGCAACTAATTGCGTAAAATTAAAAGTATAAATGTGGAATGTGAATAGCAAGAGGCAAAGCATATGAAACAGTGACACAGATAAATTTGAAATGTGGGAGAAATGTGTGTTTGTTTAGTCTTCTGAATTTTTGAGCAATGTATTTTGTCTGCGATTGCAGCCATGTGGCATGTGATTCTTTACTTAACCCGAATGACCGCAAGATGTTACATTTCAGTTGGTGCCAGTTTCACTCCTTCAATCCTTATGATGTATTTCACAGATGGTGCGTGTGGATAAGGGTTTTTTTCTTTTCCATGCCAGAAATCAAGTTGGTTTGTGGATATGGTGGCATTATTCTAAACTATGTACAAACCGTGCTCTACCCACAAAATACGCTTCCATCAGAAGAGAGCACAGACATTCAGCTTGTGACATGTATGCTGCCTTGTTGTCTTGTACTGCCTTTTTTTGGGCTTATCTACTTTTTCTTTCACTGATGCTTCTCTCAGCTCATATTTGAGTTATTCACAAGAAGCAGGAAAAGTGCCTTCTCACCTCACCAATAACAGAAAAATAATCTGTAACGGTTGACTGTAAATCAGTAGATGCTATAATCCTTTCCTTATGTGCACCTTATCTTTTTAGAATGTTTTGCTTGCTTTCACAAGTCCCTTTGGTTGTAGCAGTTGCTTATTTCAATTAAGTATTTAAAAGGTTAATGCATTATGTCATTACAAGAGAGCTTGAATTTAGACTATGGAATGCCTTGTTTTGTTAGTGAATTCTTTATAAGCAATTCATGAGGACTGTAGCACTTCTTTTTAATTGTTCGCTATGTTTGAAGGCATACTTGCTTATGGATGGCTTTAAATTTAACAAAAAGCCGATTAAGGCCATTGAATAACTTAATTGAAGGTTCAGTAAGGTTCAGTTTGCTCAAGATCTTTTCGGTAGAGTGAAATCTACGACTTGCTTAGTTTTGCATAATTTTCTGTTAATCGAATAATTTAATTAAATGTGGTAGATATTTGAAAATCTTCTACTTGCCTGCTTGATAATGAGATTTGAACATAATTTTGTGTCTTTGAAACCGACTTGTTTGTCTCGCTCCTTTCTTTAGAGGGACTGGATGAAATTGAAAATGATCTTCTAAAGTGTGAATTTTGTGGAAAAATGGGATATTCTGATAAGTTTCTACGATCAAAAAGATTCTGCTCCACATCCTGTGCCAAAAGGTACTTTGTCTAGTTATTGCTTATTATTTCGTGGTTAATGGAATAGCACCCAAATAGTATCTGATGCTGAAAAATAAACAATAAAACATGACTGCCTTCTACTCGAATTTGCAGAGTATATGGGTACAACGGACTATGGTAGATTATAATATATTTCAAGAAGATAGACAAAGGGAATTACATTAAAATTGTGAATCTCTTTCCAGAGGTTGTTGTGAATGCTGTTGGGTGTACAGAAAGGTGGGGAAGAGAAATCCATCAGGGGTTACTAAGTATTTGGAAACTGGTGCAGAGGTTCATGGGCCACGAATAGTTATATATTTCTCATATTCCTATTGTCTTCCCCATCATCTTGGGCAATGTTGGAGAAAGAATGCTGGGCTAGGTGGGCTTTCTTAGTTTTGTGTGGTGCTAGGGATGAAAACCCCACTGAGTTTATTTTGTCATAATTTAAATGCTCCATACACAGAAATCATTCTTTTACTAAAAACATTGGGTTTAATAACAGTGTAAAAATTCTTTATTTGCATAGAGTAAAATAGAAATACTCAAACAATTTAGTGTTTTCTAAAGCTTCACCTTTCTTGAAAATAGCGAGTGATGGCATTTGCTTGTACATGCTTGGCAGAGAAGAATGGCTGGTTTCTGTTTTTCTTTGAGTTTAATATGCTGTTTCTGGTTAAAAGAGGAAGAATTCATAGTCAACACCTGAATGTAAAAATATTCCATCATTACACCTGGAAAATTGAAATTTAATCCCAGGTGTTTTAGAAAGGGGGAATAGTTTCCCATTTCTAATCCCCACTTTGTTCTTTTTCTACATCAATGTGCCTAGACACCACCTTTCTCTAACGTCTGCTACTTTTTTAATCCCTCATATGAGGCATTCCCATTTTAAGTAGTGGGAGTGTATCTTTTTGGTTTGGTACTTGTTGGGATACTACTAGCGAAATATTTTTAAGACATTTGACCTTTTAATCCTAAAATCTTGGGTTAGGTTTTGCCTCCATCCTTCTTTGACTGGGTATCGGTTAGGTGGAGAAAATGGAAGTAAAAGACACAATGTGACTTTAGGCTTTTAGTGGGCATTTTTTTGAAGCAGGACTGGACTATGTGATAAAATGCAAAGGTATTTCTATCATGGAAAATTTTTTTAAATGGGAAAGACAGGCATCTTCCAGGGATAATCTAGATGTATTTGATCTTGCATCAGGGCAACAGGTTTGAGTAAATGGCCTTTGAAATACCTTCCTCTTGTATTTCTGTGACAGCTGTTGTCTTTAATTAGGCAGCATTTCTACAATACTGTAATTTTATGGTTACTTGATTGAATTCAGTTCAAAAAACTATTAGTGCATTATTGAATATATCTTACTCCTTTAGGCACAGCCTTAGTTGCACTAAGAAATTTGGGCTGTTTACATCAGACAAGAGCAGTCGTTGGAATCGGAAGTCAGATAGCCAAAGTCTTGGGCGACGCGGGCGTCAACCGAGTGGCCCTGATGGGGCGTCACGAGATCATTTTCTTAGACAGGTCTGTGGAATATTTGCTTAAAACTATGGCATTGCTTTGGGAATTACAAATAAAATATAATACTGTAGTGTATTTGTACTACATTTTCCAGCTTCCAATTACTTATCCATCTGCAGAAGAAGATATGGCTTCTCATGAAGATGCTGTTCCGGCTGCCATGACCACCCGTCTGCGAAGACAGAGTGAAAGAGAGAGAGAACGTGAACTTAGGGAACTAAGAATGAGGAAGATGCCGGAGAGCATTGACTTGTTACCAGTGGTGCAAGCTGACCCATCCGTATGGACTGTCGATGAAGTTTGGGCCTTCATACATTCTTTGCCTGGTATGTGCAATAACTTGTTCCTTTTTTTTTTTTAACAGTAAAGCTCCTTGCTTTTTAGCATTAGTGTCATGAGGAGGTGGTGTGGTAACGGCACTAGTGTACTTGTTAGTTGGTGATAGAAACTGGCATGTGATTTCTTTCCTCTTGCTTGTTCCTTCAGCACAAATCCCATGTTCATAGAACTAGTCCCACTTCTGCTGTTGCACCCCCGCTGATGGAGATTAGAGCTGTTCCTCCCTTCAGTCTGACTTCTCTCAAGAGGTCAGTAGAGAGATCAGACACGCTTCTTCCCTTTTACATTTCTTTCTCCTCTTCCCTCCTTACTTGCTGTGTATTCAGTAGAAGAAGCAGGAAGGGAGTTAGTTTCCTTTATACAACTGAAAAAATTGAGAGACCTCTCATGATATGTCATTAAAAAAGAATAAGCAAGTTTCTTCTATAAATCTAAATTTTGTTTTGCGTAGCTTTGCTCAGCAACTGAAATACCATCCTCAGGTTATGTGACATTTAATTTCCTAACTACCCTAAGTTTTAAAGTTTCACTCCCTTCTCTTTCCCAAGGATGCTCTTCTCTCTGACCAGGTACTGTAATCCTTCCAGGTAACGGGGTAGGTCTCCATAATAGCAGTCATACAAGAATTTTTGTTGCTTAGCCATGTAACTCCCATGTCAAAACATTGAAACCCAGGTTATGTTTATTCCTAATTTTCTAGTTTAGAAATGCTAAACCATTTTTCTTTGTATCCCTTTAGGCTAATAACCTGTAAAGAATGTATCTTCATTCTAAGTCATACACATGGGTTTTGACAGTTACTCTTTCATAAAGTAGGTCAGGCAAAGAATTGAGTAAGGAATGTCTTAAATCAGCAAAAGTCATCCTTGAAATACCTTTCTTCTGCTGGTTTATAAATTCCATTTAAGTTACATTGTCTGCTTTTGGGAACCTGCAGTGAGGTCTTTAAAACAGGCAAATCTCCTTAGGTTTAAGACATGGACATTAGTATTTCTGTACTTTAGATGTGTTACTGAAATATGTCTATATTGCTACTGTTTTGAGTTACTGTTTTTATAGATTTGAGGCTTTAGTTAATTCAGTAACTTCCTGATCCTAGGTTCTGCAAAAGAATAAATGATAGTTCTGGTCCTAGAAAGCTTAAAGTAGCACATAAACACAATTCACTTGCAAGTATGAAAACAAAAATATTATTCTTAAGATGTGGTTTCTGTTTTGAAACCATGCCTTGTAGAATATTTCACCAGTTGCTGTGTTTTTGTATTCTGTGGTTTTGTATTCTATAAACAAGGTAATCTTTGATTTTAAACAAACTTTACATTTTTCTGTGTTTAAAGACAATTTATTATAATTACTCATTCCCATCCATATTAAGGCCTAGTTTCTCAAATACCTAAAAAAAAAAAAAGTTCAGTAGGTCTTTAAAATTACATTCACAACCTGCCAGAATTTTTATTGTTACATAGCCACATTCATATTTTTTGCAATTTTTGGATTTATTCTGTTCAATATATTTTCAGGCCACTCTATTGAAAAAAATATTTTTTCAATGCTGTCACAGTTGAATAACACAAGAAATAATATAATGGACTTTCATTATGCTATTTTGCAATACATATACTTGATGCAGTCCATGCAGACCATCTGCCGTGTTGTGGGAGATGGTGATGTCAGCTTTTCATAAACATTAGGGACATCTGTTTTGATTTAGAGCTTTCTGAATAGAGTCTGTAGCTGAGAAGTGACTGTGGAGTCAAGTGTTCTTGTCAGGCTTTTCCTGAATTCCTGTGGAGTCTTTTGGAGAAATGAAGATTGTAGGAACTTCTACTGTTACTTATTTCTTCTGGGGAAGAGACGGCAACAGTTTAAGCTCCAGCAGAGTTGTTCCTCCTTTCTTTCTTCAGTTGCAAGATTAATGGTCTTTCACCTGCTTCCCATCCTTTCTTTAGCTAAGTTATTACACAACAACATATTGTGAAAGTGCTTAAGAATATGCAAATGTGCTTGGATGGGGAAACTGAAATACATCAACCTTCATCCTTTGCTTTTCCAAGATGACTTTGAGAAAAGATATTTTAGGAAAAGTTGCATGGAAATGCTTCATAGACTGCCTAAAGAAAAAAAGCCTTCAACAACAACCAGTTTTCTATTTTAATAGGACTGCTGTTATTCCTAAATGTAAAAACTTCTCTTGATCTCTCAGGTTCTTTGTAAATGCTGTGGCCTGCCAATCACCATGTTCAGGTCTCAAGTCAGGCATACAGTGATACCTCTTACAGAAATACTTACTTAGTACATGGCTTACAGACATTTTATCGGCTGTCAACACATAGTAAGAACCTTTATGAAGATGTTGGAGCTGTTAAATCCTCCTGAGAATGGTCAGTTGTCTTAAGATTGATTTTTTTTGATGTTACTGGTGGCATTATCTTCACTTGGTAGCTGGAATTGCAAGCGCCATTCCAGGAGCTCTCTGATGGTTCTGGGCTCCTGAAGCACATTCTCTTACTGATTACAGTACAGTTTGTAGCTGGGCTGTACTAGTGCATCACTCTACCAGGAATATTAAAAGTAAATCTTACGGAATACATGCAAGCACTAAAACATTTTAATGGCTTTAGTGGCAATATAAATACTGTTTGTGGCAAACTAATTTGTGTTTTTTTTCTCCAAAAGATACCACTCTAATTTCTTGTTACAATAAATAATGCCTGAGAACTGGGTGTTTATCGTGCAATAAAACTGTGTTGTTTTAAATGCTATGGAAAGTAGTCTTTAGTTCTGATTAAAACTTAGCCAACTGCTACACAGTAACTGTTTTACTTTTGGGATTGTACTTTATACAGTTGTAACCTAAACTACAGAGGTTTAGAGGTGTAGCCAGAGGCTACAATAAAAGTTCATAATACGACCTTTCTCTCTTCAAATTATCTTTTAATTTTCCCTTTCCTTAATAAAGTGGCAGCCATTTATTGTATGAGGCCTGTTTAACAAATGATTAAGAAAAAAAAAAAAATCATGCTTTATTCTTTGTGAAAAGCTACACTTTTCCAATCTTGAATGTTACGACCACTACACAGTAATAATCCAAATAACTAAGGCTTGGATGGTGGTACTTCTTTCCATGTTTCCTTTCTGTCTCTTACACATTTGTAAATTCATTAGGAAACGAGACTATCTGTTATTTATAGAATTTAAATCTGAACACACAAGAGGTCGTGAAATCAGTCAGTTGCTTTTATCTGGGGTGGAAAAGTAATTCTTCACATTATTCTCATAGCTCTGTAACAGTGTGCTTTTAGAACAGGGGAAAATATACAAATGCCAAAAAATAGGCTTAGCTGTGGAATAATTGAAAGCAGGAATGGAAGGCGGAGCACAAATTAAAATGTGTCTAAAAGGGTCTGAAGCAGATAGAGAGACCACTGGCTTGAGAATGTAGATATGTAAAAAAAACACGAAAAACCTGGCTATGGGGAAGGAAGCTTCAAATAAACAACTGACAACGAGTGCTCTTATTCGCACTGTTGGAAGATGTTTGTCCGTACAACAGGGCTGCCATACAGCCAGGCATGACTGACTGTTTCTGCTTAACAGATGTCCAGAACATCTTTTGAGGAACCTTTTGTTTCCACGGTGTTCTTCAGTGGAAATTGTGTAGCTGAAAAGCTCTAGAATGGATAGAAACACTGCACCTAAGAATGCATATTTCTACCCCAGTAATTTTTTTCTGTTGCCTTGTAGGTTGTCAAGATATTGCAGATGAATTTAGAGCACAAGAAATTGATGGACAAGCTCTCCTCTTGTTGAAGGAGGATCACCTTATGAGTGCAATGAATATTAAGCTTGGACCTGCGTTGAAAATCTGTGCACGTATCAATTCATTGAAAGAATCCTAGAGGGTCAACATGAAGGTTTAAACAACAGTTTCTCAGTGACAGAACCGACAGTAATATGCCAACATCTTCGCTGTGGCATAAGTGTTACTGTGATGTTTTGTTAAATATATGGGGTTTTCCCCACACAAAGACTCAGAAATGTTCCTTTGATGATACCAGGTAGTCCCTCTGTAGTTTTCAACAATTAATAGGTTCATGGTAAAGCCTGAGTAATACTTTGAGTTGAAGTGGGAGTTCATGGAAAAACCTGAAATATACTGTGATAGGTTAAATATTCCCCAACATGTACTTTATCTTATAAGTTTGATTAACACCCCAGCACCCACCCCAATCTAAACACCATTTAAATTGTGTTGCTGTATTCAGAAAGATTTTTTCCACATACAGCAGTTTTTGGACTGAAATAACACAAGTGTCCACAGACCCTGTGGAAGCACTAATGACAGTAAAATGCTATGCATTTAGTTGTGCTCTCTGAGTTTCTTTTGGTCATGAGCAAATTGTTTGTAAGGGGTAGGTTGGCAGCCAGTCTTCCTCATGTAGGCTTACCCTCATCTCTGCCACTGTAGTATTTTCTTGAAGTCTGGAAATACTATAAGCCATGTAGATGTCTCATCAAAATCCTCATCGTCAGGCTACTGAAATGCAATGGCGTGACACTCTTGCCAGAGGTAACTGAAGCACATGTTACTTACTCTTTGTATGCTGCTATGCACTAAGAGGGCATTAAGTTGTTACGTTCGTAGTTTCTCCTGCTGCTAGTTGAGCTAGACCAGCAGTTCTCAAATGGGGGTTCAGAAGGTGTGAGAACACTCGGGGTTCAGGTTCCCAAATGCCTGGGCGTGAGGGGCTGAAAGCTGCAGCCAGAACTAGCTCATGTTGAGACAAGAGTACTTTGAAGACTGGAGGTAGAGAAGGGATAGCGTAGCTCAGACGCTCTTTTTCTTGATACCTCTTCTAACTTGTCTTTCCCCGTAGTGCGTTCCCACTGCCTCACTAGAAACTTCCAAGCACCTTTTATTTGTCCACTGGCTAGGGTGAGCTGGGCTTGCAGAGCACTGAGATCCCTTCAGAGCTGGGTGTAGGGACAGCTGCTGCTGCAGTGGGGGAGCCTGGAGCTGCAGGAGGAGTGCCACCCGTAGGCAGCTCTGGGAGAAATCTCCAGGGGCCCTGCTTCGTCCCTCTGGTAGGAGATTTTGACTTGGATGCTGCAGACCCAGGCGGTGGGATTGTAGTGTCTCCCTCTGTCTTCCCTCTCTTGCACTGTATGTGGAACAAATATGTGTTTCCCAAGTTACTGACACTCTCGGAAGCTGCTTGGGCCCAGAAGCAGCAGCACTTTCTCAGCCTCTGCAGCCCTATCACCTGGGTGATCCATGTTCATGGATGTATTTTGAACCTTCTGTTCCCTCCCTTTTGCAGCTCCACTCCCCTTATGTACAGACCTAGATGCCTAAGCTCTTGCAGAGGGAAAGAAGGGCATGTGTGCTGATGGAGTCATTGTGTATATTTGAATTAAATATGCGTGTCTGCAAATAATGTATTTTATGCAAATCAATGCATAATATATGATTATGTAGGGAGATACTCAGGGGGACTGTAAAGTATTCCTGAAAGAGAGGGACTGATCTGAAGTTTGAGAACTGCTGACCTAGATCAAAAGGAGTCAATGCACATACACTGGCTGAAAGGAAGGTTTATGACAGGTAGATTAATATGTATATTATTTAACTGATGACCTTAAAGAGTAAATTTGGATTAAAGAAAAAATTGTGCTTCATTTTCCTTGAAACTATTGCTTTGTTTCTATTAACAGACTTTCTACCATTATCTTCCAGAGATCAACATCAGAATATTTGTTTTTAATTACAGCTGTTTGAACTTACTAATAGATGTTATTAATATTTTTATTAACCACTGAAGCTCCAAGTTAGGACAACCCGTTGCTGTTACGTGCTAGTATTTGGTGAGAGCCCTTATCCAAGTGGCACCAAAGGCTTTAGAGAATTAGTTGATGTCTGGGTTTATTTTGGAGGGAAGTTGCTAAGCACTTTCTAATTTGTTTTTTCTATCTTCAGTTACTGTTGTAAAATAAACTTCTTAGTTGAAGGTTTAATGTTTGGCAATGTTCATTTGAAAGATATTCAAATGATGGAAACAGTAGGTTCCCATTTGTAGCACTTCTGTAAGATACACAGTGTAGCATATCTGTAACATATGTTCTAAAGAATACGTTCTGTTTTGATGAGCTAATTGAAGACTAAAGATATCTTAGATATTTATCCTTTGGCTTTTGTCTTAAAGTTTTATTATTTTTATACGAAAATTTCACTGCCTAATTTTTAATCTGTCTTCTGATTGTACTGTTCTTTGGCAATGTAAAAAGTAGGTATACGTAAATGTTATTTGATAATGGCTTAAGACATATTTGAAAATGTGGACTTGGGAGTCTTATTTAGACCTGCAGTTAATTACAGTGCTGTTACATGCATGAGAATTTCACGACTGTTTTAATTTTGCTTTATTAGACAGCTTTCAGGAGACCTTCTACAGCTAGTGTTTATATAAGACTCTTGGACACAATCACTGCCAGGAGCTCAGAGTAGACCTGATTACTGCATGTCTGTTCTGGTGGTTCTGGTACACTACATTTTCCATGGATTTGGGAGAGCCACAGATAGTGAGTTATGCTTTAAATATTCATGAACACAGCAACTAAGAATGTGGGCCTTATGCACATTGAAAGTTTTTTCTCCTTCACTGATTTTGATATTAAGCAGGAACCTAAAAGCAGACACAGCTGTACTAACCTATACTGACAGAAATGCACCTGTGTTGGGGTGTTTGCCAGTATAGCTGTGTCAATAAAATCAGGGGGTTTTGGGTTTTGGTTTTTGTTTTTGTTTTGTTTTGTTTTTTTTAAATCATACCTGTACATTAAAGTAGGCGGGAAAACTTCCAAGTGCAACTGAAATCTACTTCAGAAGCTTTTGAATTTACTCAAAAAAAAAAAAAAAAGCAATATAATACTTTGAGTAATATTCTTCCAGAACTGTTTTGCATACCAATTGCTTGTTTCTGTTCAGACCAGTGAGGTTTTCCCAGGCTCATACTACCATTTCCCATGGCTTTCCCCACAAATTAAGCTAGACTCTCTATCAAAAGAGGAAGTATTGCAGATTTTAACTGACTGGTTTTTCACACTTGCTCCCACTGAATGTGTCTACAAGAAAATGTTTTTCATTAGCTCTATTTCATGGGGGTTTGTTTTCTGTATTCACACTGCTGCTGATGTGCGCTACACCTTGTGATAATCCCTGCAATATTTCAGTTCCTATAGAAAGGAATACAGGATGCTGTAGGATTTTAGCTCAAAAGGGAGATAGTTTGGATGGCTTTTTCCCTTCCTCTTTCTGTGTTAGCCTTCAGCCTACCCTACTCCTTGATGGAAACTGCAGCAATAGCTCAGGGCAAAACGCCTTTGCAGAGCACTGGGCTGAATGTGACTGTCAAGATTTCTTCCAGTAGAATTATTGTCTCAGCTTCGCCGTTCATTTGGGGTTTTAAAGAAATACACCCAAATGGTCCAAATGGGTATGCAGACTCCCCTGCTTAATTTGGGTCATATCACTCAGCAGCCCTGCTTTGAAGCAGAAACAACTCCAGGAAGGGAGCTCGGCCACCTCCGCTGACTGAAGGGCTCTGGGAGCTCAGGGCTGCTCCTCGTTCATAACCAAGCCTTGCCGGTGAATTGCTAACTTCTCCCAGCCAAACCATGTTGCCTCACATTTGGCACATTTGTAAGACTTTAACACCTTACTTATATAGAGAACAAAAAATAACCATCTTGTCAAGTTAAACTGCCAGTTGTCTTGAATCACCAGAGAAGTTTGAAGGGTTTTTAAACAGACTGTTATAAATTCATTCTTTACCCATTAATCCGTCGTATTTTTTTCCAGAAATTAAGTTCTCAATGGAAGGTGAAACCTCTGCTAGATTGGTGTCAGTGAGATATCTCAAATAGATTTGTCTTGTGAGCATCTATTTCCTTGTTTCTTTCCTGTTTTCCCAAAACTTTTTTGGACAAATCACAAGTGGGAATCCAGCCTTTTGGATAGAACAAATGGTGTCCATCCTAACTGCAGATGTGCAGAAAGAGGAAAGGAATGGGACAAAGCCAAGTATTTGAGTAGGCTTACGACAGCTTTTGCATCACTTCTTTATCTTGATTTTAGCTCTAAGGAAATGTTCAGGTATAAAACCATTTCTTAACAGTAGTTTGAATGGAAGTTTATATAGTGAGACTTTGCTGGGTGTAGTGTGTCACTGCCAGACATACCAGTTAAAACTAATGCCTATTCCAGATGACTGTTCTCATTTTAATATCACAGTATCAATGCAGAAACTTACAGCTCAGTAGCTTAAGAAATTTCTTACCTGTTGACAAATGTAAGGCAATCAGAGAATTCAGTGACAGCTGTATTGTGAGTCCTGGTTTTGCAAATAATTGGACATCCACATAGTTTATAATATGAGTAGTTCTTCTGATTGTATTAAGACTATTCATATTAAAATTAAGCATGTGTATAAAAGCTTGCAGGGTTATTTTCTTATCAGTATTGCACTGAGATGTCCTGTTGGCATATATATATATATAGGTATATAGTTGTCACTCATTAACAAGACTTTTACTCATCAGTTGTTCTAGGCTGCAGATGATGACTCTGCAAAAGAATCAACCTAGGATACTTTTTTTGTTTTTGACATTTACCCAAATTAGTTTATTAGAGATGGAGAGAAACTAACATATTAAAGTATTTTGTTTTAAATACACTGTTTCTGTTGAATGTTGAGTAGAACAGGTATGAACACATCTATAAATGCATAATTTCAATGTAAGGTGTTAATAATTGCTCATAGTGAATTAATTTTTAAGTCACTCTTGCACAGTGAGCTGTAGTTTCAAACAGAAAATATTGTGAGGAGAAAAATTTAAACTCATTTAATGCTTAGCTCATTTAAGCCAAGCCTTCATTAAGTTTATTTTAAAAGAATTTGCCTTTAGTCATAAGAATTTACTTAGACCCTATCGATTCTGTGTAGTTGCATCCTCTGGACGGCTTTGCAAATAGTGACATTTAAAAAAAGAGATGGTAATTATGGTGCAGAGCAGTTCCTGCTATGTTGATGCTATGTCTACCTTTTGAAAAAGCTGCCCCTAATGGAGTCTGAGCTGATGCACAGCCTGTGCCCTGCAGTCAGAGCCGGGACGTAGGCTGAATCCAGAAGCAGGTAGCACACATAATCTGGAGGAATCAAACTGGTTTGTTTTTACCATCACACATAATCTGGATGAATCAGGCTGGTTTGTTTTTACCATCACACATAATCTGGATGATTCAGGCTGGTTTGTTTTTACCATTTTTATATCTTTGGAGGAGCTCTATCACGTGCCATTTCCTACCCCATACAGGTTTCTAAATGTGCTTTTTGCCCTGTTGGGTGTCAGCTGTGTTGGCTGGAGCATTTTGTGTCCTTCTTGGCCCCTGGGTTTCATGGTCAGCACTTCCACTCGTACCCATGGCTCCCATCCTAAGGTGCTGTGTAGGGTTGTGTAACCTCTACGTTAAAACTTACACGCACCTGCTCATTCACTTGAAGGTTGTGTGTATTATTTACTGATCTCTTAAAGCTAAGTGGAGGGAAGAAACCAAAATTCAAAGATGTGAATATGCTTGTAGTTGAAGGTATGTAGTAAGTTTATAGTCTAGCTCTTGTAACTGCTAATCTAAACTTTCCGAAGCACGGTTCTGGGAGTCAGTGTTATGAACAGATTTCAAGTTAAAAAAATTTTAAACTTCCAGCATGTATTAGCTTCCTGATGAATTATCCAAGATGACTGTGTATAGTAAGGAACTAGAAAAAGATATAAAGTGTTTTGGTTTTTTTTTCCATCTAAAAAGAATTATAATTTGAGCACAATTGTACATTCATAGAACAGTGATCATAAATATCACTTCAGTGCAATACATAACACTTAAGGAGCATTTTAATTGTGCATAAAAAGCACTGTATTGTTACATAGGGTTGTTGAAAGGATTATAGTATTGTTCATAGGTACTAAATCAGGGTATCCTTGCTGATTATGGGATTAAGCTAGAAGCACAAACATAATTGATTCGTGAGGCATATCTGCTTTGTGGGTGAAGTCCGGTCAACCTGCAGGAAGACTCGTGTTGTCCTCTGCTACCTGGCCCCAGTGCATTGGCAGCCAGGACGTTGCTGTTCTCTGGCAGCTTTCTTGCAAAGTCAATGAAAGAACAATGAGATATTCTGTACGCCCAACTTCCTTTTTAAGTAGCCTTTGTGTTAGTGTTAGCAAACCTGTACTGATCAGGAAAGAGGTGTGTAAAAAATGAAGGGCTTTATTAATGAGTGGCAAAACCTTCTATTTAGAGTTGAAAATGCCGAATATCTCATTATCGATGTTGATTTTTAAGGGAGTCTTTATATGAGGAAAGTACGGAAGTTTCTCATAAAGGGTTAACACTTTAGCCGCTGTTACCATTAATATCAAATAATCCTATAAGAATTAAAGACTGTAAAGTATTTGAATGATGTAAGGCCATTAGTTGCTGGCACAGCACAAGATGTACAGAGGAGATACAGCAGTGGTTGTCTGTAGTTTCAGGTATTATTTCAGATATTACCACCTTCCTAGCATAGCTTCTCTCCTCTTTCTGTCTGACAGTGAAACTGTAATTCTGTTCCACAGGGTACTTTTTTATGGCAAGGTTTATGGTTATATGGTTGGGTTCAATGTTCAGTGTTAGGACTTGCCAGAAGCACCAGATGAAAGAAAATGCAGAGAGGAAAAGACTTGGGCGTTAGGAGGGTAATAGGATAGAGATCACTTCACAACTGGTGTCTCCCTTTACAGAGAGTCAAGGATAAAAGTGGACTTGCAAAGAGAGCTACTATTAATGTACTTTAAAATAGGTACTTAGGAGGCTTAGACATCACAATTGGATGGTAGGTGAAGACCTGTAGTGCCACTATTACCTACTCGGTGGGTGCAGTGACAGCCTAAAGGTTGGTGCTCTTTGGCACTTTTCCCCAAAGCATATGGAAGAACGAATTCGATAGCAACACAGTGATGTAACATCACTACATTAATGTTTGCTTTGGCTGCATGTTGTGGCTTCCCTGTGAAAAATAAAATTTTGAAAGCTTAAGATGGTTTTAGAAGCACTGCAGCAACTATGGGAGTTCTGCCACATCAGGAAAGCTGGGGTTGTGTAAACTTTAATTATGGGTTGAGAAACTGAACCACAGTGATAAATAATACACGTCAGCAGCCTTACCCAACTTCTTGCAGTTCCAGTTCCGTATACATTAATGAATCAGAAGGGTGAGACTAACCACACAGAACAGAAGCATCTGAAATGTATGTTCTTGAAAATACCTTTGCCTTCATCTGGTGTTAAATGAATTTTTAAATTAGGAATTTTCCCTTGCTTGCCGAGTCTGTAAGGATTAGTTATTTCATGATCTTCTGAAATGCCTGGTGCATTAGAATATTTGAGATATTTGCTGGTTTTTAAATGGAATTAGGTTTTGTAAATATTTTGTCAACCCCATTTCAGTGGGTGTCCAGTTTATATAAAACCTGAAGAAATGCTGTTGTCAAAAAAATGTGTTTAGACATGGTTTATCCTATAGCATCTCAAGTGCTAACAGCAATTACAGTTTGAGAGAGCAGGGAGCGATCGCTTAAGGTTCTTTTTCAAGTTAACATTGTACATGCTTTCCTATTTTTAACACGGAAATAGAATTTCCTCCAAACACACTTGCCAGCATAAAGGATAAAATAATTTGTGGTGCCAAACACTTCGAACCATGTTGCTAAACATTGCCTCCTATTATTGCACTAGTTTTTAAAATTCAGTTTTTGATCATTTACTGTCCTTTTGATGGCCTTTTTAACAAATTTTCCCCAAACCATTTTCTACTGCTTAAAAATGCTCATGTCCTTTTGATTACGTCACTGAAACCTCAAATTTACCACAGACTGTGGGTGAAAGAAGCACTATGTGGGGTGAAGTAATAAATCAGAATAATTGGATTGATATATTGCAGAAATGTGAGATTAATATATGATTGAGATGTGATTGTGTATTCTTATGGAGTGATATACTGGAATATTCTTTTATAAGAAGTTTTAGCCCACGTAGCATTAAATTCTGCAGTTAAATCTATGTCTATAATTGATATAATGTAAATGATAACCCCAAAATTAAATTTTACAGCTGAAGAGCACAGTGAACTATGTAAAAATATGATCTTCACTTTGTGAATCATTTTTTTTAAAAAGCACTTTCCTATTACCAAGTAGCATGTGAATGCATTTTAGATTCTCTCATTTGTTATGATCTGTAGAAGTGAAATTTCTTTAATCTGTCTGTTAATGGGTAAATTCATCATACAAATGCTGAAACAAAGCACCTTATACTATGCTGCTTAAACTTGCTTGTAATTGCACCTTTTGTTATTTGCAGATTTTTCTTAATGAGTATTCTTGTGTGATATCATTGTTCCCTGTGGGTCTGGGCAAATGATTAACCAACCTACAGCATCATTTACTTATATAGTTTCTATTTCAATACAACATTGTATTGTGAGTTCAGTGCTTCAGAAATAAATGCTACTTCCATTTGTCTGCTTTGGTTGTGCATCATTTATTTCTCTTCTATAAAATTAAATCAAGACCTTCATAAAACTGTAAGAATTTGAAAATTAAAGAGTATTTTTGCTAGAAGCCTGACTCATTCTTCCCCTACTGAAGTAGTCCAAATTTAATTTCAAAGTAATTTGGCCTTCAAAATTAATTTTATTTTAATTTCAGCCCTTCTCTAGCCTCAGGAATTTATGTATAGCAACTAACCTTGTAAGAGTAATACATCTGCTTAGTATAGAGAGTAGCGTTGAACTGTTGGTGTATTAAGCACCTCTGTATTCGTTCCACGGGCAGTGTAATTGCCCCTGCATTCAAGCTTAGTGCACTGATTAAAATTAGTTTTAATATGCACATCTGGACATTAGAGGAGCAGTAGCAAAGAAAAAATGAAACATCACCGCCTCTCCTGTAGTGCAAGATGTGCAACTTCTACAACTGTTTTGTACTCTGTAAACAAAGTTGTAGCTTTACATGAACTAAAAGAATTTATTTCTCGTGAAACAGACAAGCTTTACTTAAACTGACAAAAAGTCACACTTTAACAAAAAAAATACACCTCAAAAACTCACAGAAGTTGTTTGAACATTTGACAGCAGGTTAACGTGTGTACATAACCGATAAAAGGCCTCCAGCTTTGAAGAAGACTTTATTGCATTTCCTACTATAAATCCTGAGATCATTCCACTTAAAGCAAGTGTAAAGTTCTAATCATAAACATAAGATTTAAACAAAAACTTGTTTTATGGAAGTAGTGGTCTTTTAAACTTATACTTTCAAGTTAAATTCTCTGAAGTGGCAGGTGCTTACTGCCTACCGGAACCCTGCATGGAAGCCTGCAGCGTCCCACGCTCTGGTGCAATATTCGTTACAATATCGGTGGATGTTTCACTCTCTTCCACAGGCCGTAGCTCTGGAGATGTTTCTTTGTATTTTCTGTAAGGACACAGCCACAGAACATCAGAGTACAGGCTTTGGTTGCACAGCACTTATTTGCAGTCTTTTCAGTCAGTAGCTCATTAACAGATTACAATTACTGTGCCAGGCTTATCAGCTAGCTCTGTGTTTTCATTGTTAAATGGCATAAAGCAGAATTTCCAGCTGACAAATGGATCTGTAGACCACATCTCCTCTGTCAATTCAACGTCGTGACATCGACACCAGTACGCTACTGCGATGAGAAAGCTGTTGATGAAGTACAGCCAGGGGACGTTCATCTCCATGTAGGCTGGAATCCGAGCACCGAGAAACAAAATGATAATTTGAAGAACAACGAAAGGTGCCCAAGTGCCAAGAAAGCAGACGAGGAGTCTGGTCAGGAGCTGCCACTTAAAGCAAGTGCCATTGTTGTTGGGCACGTAGGAGAACATCAGAACAGGCTGACTGGCAAAGGAAACGACCCTGACAGACAGCAGCATGGTGATGACCTCCTTCCGACAAGCCAGGAGAGCCGCACCTACGAGCAGCACCATGGCACACGAGACTGAGTAGCTCTGCACACTGGCATAGAGAGGACACTGATAAGGAGAAAAATGGTTCTGAATTTCTAGTTCTTCATAGATAGTGGGAACTTTCAGAATACAAAAAAAACCTGACATCCATATAACAACCACAGCAAATACATAGAGTAATCTTGGACCTCTTTTAGGAAATTCGGAAGTTTGGGCTATAGTCATGTAATAATCCAGACCAGCCACAAAATATACCGGGTAATGCAGAATACCGTAGGCAAGAGAAATTATCTGAGTGAACAGGCAAATGTGGTACTTTGTAAATCGGACGCCCCAGAGCGCAAAGTCCTCAAAGTAGAAAATGAAAGATATGCTCATCAGCAGTGTGAAATCGAGAAGTGCCAGTGAAACACAAAAGTATCCCATAAAGCTAACTTTCACATTTTTTTGCTTAACTTGCAACATGAAGAAATCAAGGAACACTTTTCCGAGCATAATCAGGAGCAACATGCAGCTGATTTCAAGCGGTTGGTTGACCTGGGGGTAGTGGTACTGACCAGAACAATTTTCACAGAGTATGGCAGCCATCCTCTGAGGGTAAGGACAGCAAAATAAGTATCAAAGAGCACGGTGCTTCATATCTAAAAGGAAAAACAAGAAGTTTGTAAAAATTAATTTCTGGGTATCTCTATAGATTAGTTAATTCTCCATCACAACAACTACTAAATTTACATCTGAATTTTCCAGGCACCATAATTAAGCATAAATAGCTTCACTAACTCATTGTTAGATTGTCAAGAAGTACCTAAATTTTATGTTTTTTGAACTACATTCTTGAGAGTTAAAGGATCAACGTAGACCCAGGTTATTTTTCTAGCTACTATCCTAAGGAAAGGTTTAGGAAATTAGGTTGACTCTGCTCCTTTAGGAAGCATGGGGGTCTTTCTGTCCAGCTGGGCAGAGGGATGGATGCTTCAGAGCTCCTACAAGTTTTGAAGAAAGTAGACAACCACATAGGACAGAAATCATACAAGACACGGGAGATGTTACAGTATGGCCTCACAGTTCATTATGCTCGTAGAATCTATATGGAATCACGACTGCAGAAATATCCTGAAAGTGGAAACAGCATCAACCCAACTCATCCTTTCTCAGTGCTAAAATCCTGGAACCGAGAGGCAATCCAAAGCACACGCTTCATTAGTTGACTGGGCTTTTTTGTTCATCCTTTAGCAATGCAAGTCCTACAATGACAGACACCTCAGAACAGCTGGTTTTCTCTTGGACTTCCGTAAGTTTCCTTACGATAACTCTTCTCTGTGTGTTAATTTGTAAGGAAGATGAACACAGAATTGCTTCTGGTATGTCAGCAAGACACGTTTGACAAAGCTGCACACATTTTCTTCTCTCCTTCCCAAGAAGCAGAATGGTGTCGGCATTTTCAGTGAGAAAAGCTGAGAAGCCACAGCAGCTGTAAGAGGGAATTGCTTCTTAGGTTCTCTGTTAGCTATGATTCAGTTGTATTTAAATAGACACCTACATTTTGTTACCAGCTTGCCAGAGTTAGTGTCTCCTGAAAAGCAGAACACGAGCAACTAGGAGTACTTGGCAGTCCGACTTGAGGGCTATCCGTTGAACTCGGTTACAAGCCTACCCGGGCTTGCTGCTTCACTCTCCACCCGCACGAGTACATTTCATCCTCTAAAACCCAACACATTTTACACGACAACTTTAAAACCGCCTTCTGCCTGCATTCTGCCTTCACACGCTGGACGCGCCGCTCGCGTGCGCCCCAAAAGAGGGAAACTGCACGCAAAACCGGGTCACACCGCGGAAGGGCTCCCTCAACCCTGTTTGCACTACCGCAGCGCGAAACCAGCCGCACCCGCGTTCGGGCCTTTCGCCCGCTGCGCGCAGCCCCGCGCACAGCCGCGCCCGCGGCGGCCGGCCCCGCGCTCCTCCCGCGGGCGGGCTGAGGGGCCGCTGCCGCCGGTCTCCCTCAGGGGCAGCGCTCGGGGCTCCGCGCCCCCGGCGGCGGGTTCCCGCTCTCCTCCGCGGGTGGAAGCCCTGAGGGGGACCGGCTCCTCCGCGCCCAGGAACCCACCTGCTGCCGCCGCTCCTCCGCGCTCCTCCTCGGCGTGTGCGGCGGACACCTCCCCCGGCTTCCCGCCCCGCCGCGGCCCCCTCAGGCGGAGGCCATCTCCTCCCCGCCCCATGGCTCGGGGACCCGGCCGGGGTGGGAAGGGCTCGGGGCTCGGCTCGCCGTGTGGGGCCGGCCCGGCCCTGCCCCGCCCGCCCGGCGCCCGCCGGTTTCCCGCCCAACCCGGCGCGCCTCAACCCCGGCCTTTCCTCACGGCGGGCGGCCGAGGGACGGCGGTGAGGGGCTTCGCCTCGAGGAAAAAAAATAACCGCTTTGAGGAAAAGGGTTAAATACGTTGCGTTTAATCCCTCCCTCCACCCACGCCCGCGGTGGCTGAGGGGAGCGAGGAGAGGGGCGCGCCTGGCGTTACCTTAGCGGCGAGGGCAGGGCAGAGCGGCGCTGGAGGGGACGGTGAAATCACTACGTACGTGGCAAGTAAACATTTTCTGTTATAAATAAGTGACGTGTGTGGGGAAAAAAAAAAAAAAAAAAAAAAAAAAAAGGCGGCAGGGCGATGGCGGGTCGCTTCGGGTGCTTCAGCCGGTGCCCCCCTCGGGGCAGGAGGCCGTCGCTCTCAGTATTTGATGGCCGGGGTGTGGCGTGGGGCAGCGACCACGAAATACTTCGTTTATAAAACCTCGTGTTCACACGCTGCGTGTGAGCCACCCACACCGGCTTTGGGACTCAGCCCGGTCGGCAAAGTGTCACCGGTTTCACCCGCCCGGAGTTAATGACAAGGAGCGGGGGTGCCGATCCCCTCCCTGAGGCGCCCCTGGCCATACCCAGCAAACTTCAGAAGAACTAATTTTTGTTTCTTTTCTGTTCTCACAGCAGGAAGGACTCTCGATGCGTTTCGTGAGGGTGTTTGCTGTCCCTGCAGCCTGGCAGCGGATCTCCTGGTCCCCCGTCCACGGAGCCTGCCGTGGGGAAGTGCGTGGGTTGCCTTGGGGTATGATCGCACACGAAATGCCCTGAATTTGTGGGCTTCTACATGCGCGTTACCCTTCCCACACAGAAAGCAGTATGCCTCTAAATACGTGATGATCCACCTTTTTGCCGCATGTCTCCACTTTGATCATTAAGCCATCAGATAAATCTGAATATTGCAGTCAGCCAACGGTGTATTTGCAGTTCAGATTTTTAGCATCATGTAACAGCTTTATAGAACACTTATGGTTTTGAAATACAACACAAAATTGTACAAACCCTGCAATACTGTGTATTCCCTTCCACAGGGGAACTTAATATTTAACTGACAGCTACATTCTGGTAATGTTATAGTTAGAGGGCTATACACTAAATATTAAGAAATATTTTACTGTGAATGTTATCTAGGCAAAAAGATTTTTTACAAATGGCTCTCTCAAATCTGCCTTCCTCAGAGATTCTTAACAATTAAGAAAAGTTTAGAAGAGAGGTTAGGGAATACTGTTTGTTTTAAGATAATGAAGAATTAAAGTAGATAATCCTGAAAGTATATATAAAACCTTCTAAATGGATTGGCTTTTTAGCTTGGCTGTCCTGTAGCAGTCTACTTAATTGAATTTAAAAATTCACAGTAACAGCTTTTCACCTCTTCCAGATCAAAGTACTAATTTAGTTTTCCATTTGTTGTTTTAATTCCCATCTACTAACACATATAGGATAGGAGCATGTCCCACTGCAGGAATTGCTGATGGACCTGAGCTGTGCTTTTCAAGTTAATTGGCAGCGTTTTCCCGATTGCTGCATGTACGCAATATCACTGTAACACTATGGCAACTTTATTTTTCTCCCTTTGTGTTTCTGGTAATTTAAGGAGAGGCTTGGCAGCCTGTCAGTTCGATGCTGCAGCACCTGCCCTGTGCTGAACAGCCCAGAGCCCAGTACTGCTGCTCCTCTGCCTCCACAGGATTCTCGTCCAAACTAGTTTATAGAAGCAGCAGTTGCTCGTGTGAGTGTCGGGATGATCTGGGAAAAGGTAGTGTCTAACATCCTGCCTTTCTCAATAATTAGGTACTGACGGGAATAAATGACATCTTTTAGGTGCTTCCTGCAGATTGGGCCACCTGAGAAATTCAGGCAGAACACCTGATTTCTGGGACCTAAGGAGGAGAGCTACATCTTTGGGAGCTTTTTGGATTTGTTGTATGTTACTCCATTTAACCTGTCTGTTGTTGAGTCTAAACTACTGTCATTGATCACAGAGCAGCTACATTTTTAGCATGCCTAGTGTCCATTGGGAGGGAAACATTTTTTATTGTTTTTCTTGCAGGGTAGATTGCAAATCCATGTTTGATCTATCTGTCTGTGATCTGTGTGTACAAAAGTATCAACTGGCTGGTACCTCTTCTGAAAGCAACTAACTTTTTGGAACTAAATTCAGATGTAAGTAGAGCTTGCTTTTTTTTTTTTTTTTTCCTTCTTTCCTGATTCGTCTCAAGGTTTAAGTAACTTCAGGAGAAAAAAAAAAAAATCTGTTTTGTGGAAAAACAAGGTGATCAGTATTCTAGTCTGAAAAAAATGTGAGAGCTTAAAGTAATCTCAAGCAGCATTCACATTGGCAATATTTACTTATCCAAACAGCACTTACTAGGACTGTTGCACAAATTACAATATGATGAGAAAATGTTTACACCTGAGATGGGTATTTTAATTTCTGAGCACCCGGTCCACTGCGTGGTCCCACTCACAAGTACGTGAATGGCAATGCCCTCAATAATAGCTAGCTTTCTTCTTCAAGTGATTTTCTCAGTGGTAGCCTGTGAATTGTTTGGATGGTACCTTTCTGATGGTTTTGTTTGTTTCTGATCATGGCTTTCTTTATGATGCAGAAACTACTGCAATACCTGGAAGGTGGAAATGAGCAACGAGGAGGGGAAGGGCATGATTTAAAGTTTTTTTTTTTCTGCTGATAAAAATCCCAGTGAGTGTGTGACTTGCAGAGTACGCCGTCAGCTCTGTGCTCAGTGAGCCTTCTGAGCGGGCTCCTCGGCGTGGCCCGCAGGAGCACTGGGCTGCCCAAGTTACAGCCTGAATTAACGTCGGGACGACTACTTGGCTTCCCTTTCCCTCCACCAAGGCCCTCTGTGGTGCTTTTTTGAATGTTTCCTTATTACTTACTGATTACTCTCAAGTGATTGTTTTCTGCTCTTGAGTACTAGGTCTCATCTTCCTGTTTTTCAGAGAAATTATAATGCAAGATGGGATGCCCTGGAAGTCAAATGCGTTGCTTAGCATTGGCAGCTCCTTCTCGCTGTGTTAGGAGCTGCTTACACTCAGTGTCGAATATAAGGGCAGGCTTTTCTTCAGCATCAGCTCAGTTTGCAACATCGCAGGAAAACTTGCAGGTACTTGACAAATACCATACTCTGTAAATAATGGCTTGAGCCCATCCTTCTTGATTAAAGACGTTCCATTTATATTCATGTGCAAATAGAAAGGTTTCAGAAATTAATTTATACTTGCATGCAGGCAGCTGTCTGTGAAAATAAGACAGGAAACTGCCTCCTTCAGGAGGAGCGTACGTGAAATGGGACAGCAAATCTCTTGCAAGAGCTGTTTGTGTATTGTTCAGATGATCGTGTTGTTGTTCTGTGTCCCTTGTAGTCACAAGATATTTGCATAGATGCTTCCTTCCTTCTTCAAGACTATTTCCTGCTGCTGGTTGCTTATATTTTGGGTTCTGTTGTTGAACTTAACTGTAAGGGTTGGATTTTAGGACAAAGGGGAAAGGAACAAGAAAAAAAACCCAACATTCTGAATTTCACTGCAGCCCCACAGTTCGCTGTGGCTTCTAAAGTCGCTCAGAAAGACCAGTGGAAAATCCCAGAGTTCCTGCATACTGCTTCTGCTTCACCCTCAGTGCTGCCTGCTTTAGGGCCAGGAGGCTCCCTTCAGGCAGGGGTAGGTGTAGATAATGAATACAACTTCTTTACCATTACATCAAGGTGTATAGGGTGTGCTTCCTATGGAGTTAGAACCAGCTATTTACTTTTCCCCAGTCCTTCCTGTTTGGGGTGTGCTGTGCTTCAGAAGCTAGTTGCCATCTGCCCCTTTATTCAGTTGAGCAGAAGGGATAAATTTAAACCTCACCTTTTTGTGTTTCAAGAAATCTTATGTTGACGTCTTGGACACCTCAAGCCATGTGGGAGCAAGACAGGGAGATCAAATCCATCTCTATGCATTTTAATGTCACGTGTGGGGAAAGCTATGCACTGCAAAGTGAACTCCTGGACGAATTATTATGAAAAATCAATATCCTGAGCAGCAAGGAGTTGGGCGTGACTCAGTTTGGAGGTGAACGGACATAGCAGCCGTGAGCAGAGCTGGCAGGAGATCATGGTGAGAGCAGAATGTTGTCTCTGGAACGTATTTGTATGTGTAGATGAGTGCCAATCTGATACAGCCTTTCCTGTATCCTTTTCTTTTTCCTGGATGTGCCTTTAACTGGGTGTTGCCTCGCTGAGCATGTTTAATGCCCTATTAGATTTTATGCCTTCTCAGCGCAAGGTTAGTAACCAGGGTTTTGCAATGGCTGATGAGCAAGCCGTTGTGGAGTTTCTGTTCCTGAAAGGCTGCATGTCTCAGAAAGACAGTATGGTGTTTATGAAGATTTTAATTTTTTTAATAAAATATTTAACTAACTTTATTTTTGAAGGAAGAAAATACTTGACCAGCGTCCCCTTTACAAGATGTTTTAATTTACTTTTCAGGAATCATTTAAAGGCACAGACAGTGTGCATTTGGATCTTGATTTGAATCATTTGAGGTGCTCATCTTAAATATAACAGGTTTGTTCTTAGGAAGTTCTTGTTGAAAAGAAACTAAATATTTCCATAGTAATTTTAATTTGAAGGCATCTTGTTATAGAATTCTACCTCTGCTTATTCAGTGAAAATCTAGTAAATGCAGTACGTAGTTGATGCCAGCCTTTGTGTATTTTTCAGAAGTAGTGTTTCCTAGATTTGTGTAACCACAATATGTTTTCCCTGTACAAGGTGTAACCTTTCCCAGTGCTTATGATGACACTGCAGTCTCTTTTTTTTTGGCTTGTCTTTGACACAAAGATTTTTTTCAGGGAACTGGAGGAAAGATGGGAAGAGCAAGGCTCTGAAAACTACATTGCATGAACCAGTAATTTGTAAACCCCAATTCATGGCTTGCTGGTCACTGTGACAAGAAATTAAAAACATTAAGACTGAAACCAACATGGAGTGCAGGGTGTGATCCTACTCTCACGTTGGTCACAAACAACAAAACAGAGCTAGTAATCCTCTGTAACCTTTTAGTATATTACTACCTCCTGGTAGACTTTAATTTTAAACAAATTCTGTGGTGGCACTTTCATTTAAAAGGAAGCTAAAAAGAGGGGGAAATGTAATTTCAATCCCATCCTCAATCTGCACAATTCAAAACTACATCTTTTTATTCCAAACAAACAGCCTTTCTTAATTTTTGGTTGAAGACTCATATGCCAGAAAGAGAAAATAAGAGTTTACTGTTAGGGCTAGTGAGAGTCACTCAAGACTCTTCTCTGTGTTTCATTTATCAACTATAAAGGTAAACTGCAGGAGTGTCTTGTAAGCACCTACATCCTTTACTGGATCCAGGATACAGGGTGCTTTCAGGGATCATAAGCTGAGCCTTTTCTGTGTTTGGTTCCTGTTGTATAGGATGAGGATTAATGGTGGTTACCACCTGTAGAGAGTGCTTTGGTCTGTAGCTAAAGTATGATCAGTGTTTACCGAGTACTGTTAGCTCTCTCTTTACTTAACTTGCACTGAAACCATTTGCATAGTGCTAGTACTAACTCTAAACTAATCCTCTCTCAAAAGTCTTTTATCATAAAACAATTACTTTTCTGAGTGGTCATTATTTTCACGTTCAAAAAAGTACACATGGCAAAACGAATGCCTACTGTGTCAGCCAGTAATGGACTCTTTGTGGACACAGTCAGGGAATGTGCCTTTTGTTTTCCTGCACCTGTTGCTGTATTACAAATAAAATCACCCAATGTTTTATTAAATAAAATGAGAATCCCTCATGAAATTGTACCAGCCATTACCAGGAAGTCTATTGAAAACATTCGGCAGCTGTTGAGTCTCAGTTCACTTACACTGATAGGATTGTTTTGTCCTTCTCCTTATGCTCTGAGGAAGCCGCAGCGCGGTGGTGGTGTACAGCAGAGCCTTGGACCATTTCATACCACTCTCCTCTAACTCCCTTTGAAGTATTTGGTCAGAATCAGCAATAAATCATGCTCAACAGTTAAGTACCTATGACTTGTAAAAGTTGATAAGGAGTCAGTGCCCCGGGTCTTAACAGCTAAGTGTTTGTTTTGCAAACATCAGCTTGTATACCCTTACAGCACGGTGGTAAAGCAGGTAAAAATCTACTGTATTATTCTGATTTTATAGAGAGGGATTGATCAGAGAGGTTAAGAATCAAATCAGGCAACCCTTCTTACTAGACAAAATACCCAGGTAGCCTGCGGAGTCCTCTGGAGTGAGCTGGGGCCAGCCTTGCTCAATACAGTTAACTATCACTCTTTCTCTAAAGGTCCCTAACAGAATTGGTCTCTGTCTCTTCTGTATTTAAAAGTCAGTACATCTATCCCATAGCTGTGCTGGCAGCTAGGTGGAGACTCTTTCAGACTGTAGTTCCTAATAAGAGTTGCCTAATTTAAAAGAAAAGGTAACACTAGCAATAATTATGCTAAATGCTCAGCAGTAGATCTTGTGCTAAAACCGCTAAGTTGCACCATAATCACGTTGGAGATTGGAAAATATTTGATAAAGACTTTCTGGTAAAAACAGCGTAATAAAGAATTTTGTTCAAACTTGCATGACTCAAACGTTTCCAGGTTTGTTTTTTAAAATGTATGAATAGCTGGACGAATCCTCAGCCAAGCAGTGATACAGCCCTCACTTCCCACAGCCCCCAGGGCAGGAACAGCAGCGCCTGAGGGCAGAAGGTGCAGCAGAGGACACGCAGTCCCCAAGCATCTCCTGCAGGAACATTCCTTTGATCACGGTGCCTGAGCAGAAGAATTACCACCAGAGTCTGTCTCCTGTCCCGTTTCTGTGATGTTACAAATTTGTGGATCTTCTCTGAATTTATTGCAGTGCAACTCCATGAAGAATTTAGACTCAAATATAAGGAAGGAAGGCAAATGCAAGCTTTCTAGAACTCACTGAAACCTTCCTAGCTGAAAAGTTGAGCTGAAATTATATGCTGCCATGTGCTTCAAGCAGTTGTTGGTGAATGGCTTTGGCATCCCCAGTCTGGCCTGCCATGAATAAAGTCAAGCCAGGGATACCACTAGCTCTTAGGATCCCTGTATCTGCTTCACTTTGCTTGATTTCACAACCAGTCTTTTTGAGCTTATCCTACAGGTGTTTTCAGCCACCTTGAGATAGTCTTCTCCTCTCTTCAAGCACTGACCTGAGGAGGAATCGTCAGAAGGAAGTGACCCCGGATGTTAAAAGGACTCAGGTCTCCCTTACTAAGTAAGTTAAGGCCAGAGCATCTTCCACAGTGTGCTTAAGGGCCAGCACCGTTTTGAAATCACTGCTTGTTGCCATCGGAGCCCTGTGTTAGGATTCTGCACCTCTCTGCCTTACAGACCTAATGCCTGCCTGGAGCCAAAGCTGGGGGCTCCTGCAGCCCGGCTGGCCCGGGAAAGGGCACATGCCGGGGGTGCATCCCGCAGCCTGGGGCCCAGGGCTCTTCTGTGAAGGCAGGACCTGGTGTTGCTTGAAAATCCCATCTTTTACCCCAAGCTAATGGCAGTGCGTAGCACCTAGCTCAGGATAAGGCAAATTTGGGGGGATGGGGATGAAGAGAGGGAGACGTCCCTGTTACAGACAGTTGGGCTGTGCCATCTGCAGCCAGGCCCGTAGGCACCACCAGCTCCCTCAGGCTCTGGAGCACCCAGCGGGGGGAAGCCACTGTGGCATCCCCAGGGAGGAAACCCCTCGGTGCTGCCATTTACCTCTTCCGCAGTGGTCTTCTCTCCAGGTTGTATTTTATTTTGGAAATTGCTTAAGTTTGTGGCAGGTGTGTGTAAATCGTGGCATGCGGCTGGCAGGGGGGGGGGAGGAGAAGGGCAGGGCACAACAGCCAGGCGGGTGAAAAGGGGGTTTATTTACTCTGTAAACTGAGCTCAGCTCGCTTGAACTGCATCTGCCAACAGATCCAGGAGGGATTGTGACAGGGACTTCCAACCGCTGCCAGTAAAACAGCTGCAGCTGGCAGAGGATGTTCCTCTGTTGCCCAATGCTTTTGATGCCAACTGTGAGATTTTGATAGTACTTTGCTGTCATTATGACCCTATCAGAAATGAATTATGTCCTCCGGGGAGCAACCCTGCAAGGCTCTTAGAGCTTAGTGCCACAGAGAAAAACACAGGTGGTTACAGGAAGGAAAATAAGGGGCTAAGCCAGGCAGGTGTATTTTCCACACATCTACATTTAAAGTTTACATACGGCAGATGGTTCCCTCAGCCTTTCTCCTGGTCTAACAAAAGGCAGGCAAGTCCTGGTTACAGTGGAATTTAAGAGTTGGCTGAGGAACTGAGACATTCTCCATTTTTCTTTGTCTGCCCTTCTTCGTGCTGTCTGATGATCTGTGAACTCCATCTGCTATTGATTTCAAACAGAAGCTGAAACAGGCCTAAATGAGCAATATATATGTCTCCTATAAAAGAGATGTATTTAAAAAAAAAAAAAACAGAAAAATCTGCTATATGATATATAGCAGGGGAAACTAAATGCTCCCCGAGCAACTGCTACAAAGGTATTTTGCTATTAGAAGATTGCTTCTCATCACAGATCCAAACATCCCCACCACTGCTGTAACACTTCTACAGATAAAGAAATATGTGAGTTTGTCAAAAAATCATTTTTAATTATTTCTTAATTGCTAGAGAAAGATCTGCCTTTAAGAACACCGAACCACCACAAGTGAGCTGAGGCTGAATCCATGCCTGAGCAGAGCACACTTGGGCCTAACTTCTCTGCTAAATACTGATCTGCATGAAATACTCATTTGTGTTTTACCAGTAATGATTTAATTCCCCAAGTTATGAATAATCATATTTTCTTGCAAAGAGATGAAATCAGGAAATTATATTGTGTATATAAACACTGGGAGGAATATCAGTAAGACCAATATAAAATTTTATTGCAGGAAGGACATTTTAATAGACTAGTTATTTAAATAACTTTCCACTAAATATATAAATATGTGTATATTTGTTCCCCTAAGGTCACCCTAGACTCTGGATGTTAAAAGGCAAAATCAGTAAGAAGAACTTTGAAACGCCCGATGTAAAAGCGGCCTGATGACTAACTGAACATGACCAAGTACCTTTGTGATTTTGAGCTGGAAGCGTTTGTCAGGATACCGTAAGTCCACTCACAATTTTACTATTATTATTTTAATCATTTCTCTCATCTCATTCCAAAATAATTCTAAAATATTTGAGGAATATTTGAAGAAAATGCTAGATTACAGGAATGGGGCACGAAGTCCTTTCCTTAACCACTGAACAGCTCCAACAAGATCTTTCTTCACACTCCTTCCCGAGATTCAGAGCTGTTCACTGCAGATCAAGTGAGAGAGTTTAAGCCCCACTCAATTTCTACAGCAGCGTGAGCTTGGAACTCCAGTCATGCGACTGTACAAATTTTTGATAGTTAATTCTGAGCTCCGGACACTTCTCTGCAGGCGGGTTGCGCTGGCACATCGCACGCGCCCACTGAACAGGCAGCAGATGGCAACGTTACTGAAGTATTTATTATTTGACCGTTTCAACTTTATTTTCTCAGCAAGGCCCTTAAATTGCACTTTTAGGAGGAAACCTACTTGAACATAATTGAAATGCACTGCCTTACTTTTTTCAGCAAGCAGCAGGGGCTCGGGTGGGGGCTGTGAAGCACTGCCCTGCGCTCGCCCCAGCGCTAAGGTGTGACTAGCTGCTGGAGACTCACATGCAGGGTCAGCCACCCTGCTCACGCTCCCAGGGGAAGCACCAGGATCTAACAGAAGGAATCTTCACTACAGAGATTGTCAGAACTCTGCCCCGGCCTGGTGGAAAGCAAGTTACCCAGCAAGCTGCAGTACTGGCTCTTGAGTTCAGATGTTCCAGGAGTTACAGATCCTCGCACAGAAAGGAAGGCAGCTCCATTCTCAACACTGGAGATGAAGATGTGAAATACCCCAAGGAAACCGGCCTCTGTGAGAGCTTAAACCAGCTGCCCGAGCCAGTGACAAGGCAGCTGGGGGCCAAGGCGCTTCGCCATCGCACCGCGCAGACCTGAGGAAGGTCCTGTGATAACATGCCAGGGTCCAGGAGTCAACCCTTTAAGGAAATGGGTCCTTTAATTTTTTGCTGTATTAATAAAAAAAGTGATCCAATTGATCTGTTTCCTTACGGAGTAAATATTCAGATTTAAGAAGCAAATACACCATATCCAGAAATTGTTTATCAATGCACCCATTATGATGTATACATCTGCACAATCTGAAAAATTAGGATCTTCATCCAAAATCCTGATGCTGGAAGGAAGGGGAAGCAACTTAAACAGGAAAAGTTTTCTAAGTCAGTTACTAAACCGTCAAGCTTACCCTTCTCTTCTCTGAGCGGGTTCAGGAGACGATCAAATCTATAGTTACTGTTAAAGTCACCTCGAGGAATGATGCCAAGTCTTTAATTCTTCAGTGCTTAGTTAACCCAAACATCCAGTACACCCTCCAAACACCCAGTAGAAAGGGATGCGCAAGAGAAACTGCACAAACTACTCCAAAATATTTATAAACAAATTATTAATGGTCACTTCATATTAGCTTTGAGTTCCCTGCATTTCTGAACAGATGAACACTCTCCTGCACCTTCAGTTTAAAAAGTATTCCAGTTCCAGAATATAGAAAGGTTTAACATTAAGGCATACATACAGCTATGTTGTTTGCTTTCATTTAATAAAGATCAATTTACTCAAATACATGGAATGTTGGCACAAAACTAAAGCTCTTGTGGAACAGCTACCAATCATACACAAATATTCTGTGAGGTCCTCTTGACTTGCATTTCTCCGATAGATACACCACAAAATGGCTTTAATAATACAAACTGAATGCTGGATCAAATCTCTAAATAATAAGTAGCAGTTAAAGTAAATGGTTTGCTTTATTTGTAAATTATGTACAGAATACATTTATTTTTTTTTTTTAATTATGATGGAGCAGGAGAATGAAAACAGCCATAATTTCCAAACCGTGCTGCTTCCCTCACCCGCTGGAGATGACATCTTTCTCTGAACCAGATGTACAAAACCAGTTTGGATTTCCTCAGTTGCTGGCACGAGAACACTGCAGCCAAATTCAGCACTACCAGCTTTTACATTTTCAGCAAAATACTTCTGCTAAAACTAGCTTTCTTAGGAAAGTTTTCACAATCTTTTGAAAACAAAATCAAGAAAAATATCAAGAAAGCTGTGGGCTAAGAAGGGCTTTACCTAACTAGCTATCAAATAACTAGGAATAATCTGAGATTTGGTCATTCAACTTTTACCTGTTTTACAAAAGCAAGTTTGAGAAGCTAAACTAATTCACCAGTTATGCAAGTACCAGAAAACTATGTTTTTCAGTATGTTTGAGGACGATCTGGGCAATCTATCAATCAATAGAAAACTTGTCAGATTGATAAAACTTCTGTCAATGGATATTAATGATTAACATAGTACCAAGTAATCAAGTTAATGGTTAAAAAAAAAAAAAAAGGAAGGAACTAGATATAAAACTGTTTGGTAACACGTATATTTCAGCAAACAAAGATGCTACTGTATGGTCTATGTTTTGGTGATCAGCCAACAAAGAAAATCCAACCATTTGCACATACTTAGTCCCAAAACCACAGTGAGTTATGATTTTTCATGTGAAGGCCTGCTTTCGGTATCTTCCTCCTCTTCCTCTTCGCAATCCCCTTCGTCTGTTTGCTGTTCCAGTTCCTCTTTTGTGATCATTTCAAAGTCGTTTCCATTTCCACTACTGTGCTGGGACCTGTCGTCTTCACGCCTGTCACTGTCAGTGTCTGAATGCCGCTCTCCTCCTGAACCGTCTGTTCCCGAGTTCCTCGTGGTTTCTGTTTTCCCATCGTCTTCTTCCTTCTTCTCACTATCTGATTTCTCCTCACTGTCATATTTTTGCTGCTTTTTGGATTCTGATTTTTCCTCTTTCTTTAAGTCTGCTTTTGGTCCTTTGTATTCGTGTGTGTACAGGGGCCTGAAGGAGTCAATGAATCCCACGTCTGCTGTAAGGTTTGGCAGGAACCAGAAGTGATGCCTTCCTCCAGTGATGAGCCAGATGATAAGGAAAAGGATGCAGCGAGCTGTATTTAATCAAAAAGGGAAAATTTGGTTTTTATTATAAACATCCACACTGCACTAAGATAACCACTACTAACACCCACCCCAAGCCAGGGGCAGGGGTGCCCTTGGGGGAAAACCTCCCATTCCGCAGTAGCTCTGTGGATTAGTTTGTTCTTACAACAGCTCCCTGCCCCGTGAACCATGTGTCTTATCTGTGATTTCGCTCCTCATCCCCTCTGCTACAGAAATACAAGCCAAGAGAATGCTTTCAAACCCCGGCTACACCGTTCTCACCACTCAATCTGTTCTTGCATACAGTTCTTGGGTTTGTTTTGCTATTCTCCCTTTAAAAACAAAACAAAACAAAACAAACAAAAAACAAAATAACAAAAAAACCCAAAAACAAACAAACAAACAAAACCCGAACAATACAAAAAAACAACCAAACCAAAACCAAACCAAACCAAAAAACCAAACCACAGAGGCAGTAACCAAATCTCCACTCTACAGGGAACACAAACAGGCGACAGAAGCTGAACTTTCTTACTTTCCATGGCACAACTCTGACACCCAGTGGGCAGGAGGGAAATACAGCCCCAGGACCAGCCTGGCTGTTGCCAACAGCAACGTCCCAGAAGGCCAGACGGTGGTGGCACAACTCGGACCCAGTTTAAGAAGTTGACTGGTCTGGGCTTTGCTAGACTCCACCTGCTGATAGAGTGAAGCTGAGCGACACTTACCAACGGCAAGAAGAAGAATACTGGCAACAAAACAGCCTGCGCCTACGCTGAGGTAATAGACACCAACACGCATTTCTGCTGGCCAGAGTGGGAACAGAGTTGCAGCTATAACGGCGATCACTGCACGGAAAGGTAAGGAGAAAGCGTGAGAACCGTGGTTAGTTTTTCCCGGTGCACGGATAGAAGTTCTGGGCTTACTATTTATTCAAGGTACTGACTCAGCACAGGGAGTTACTGATAGTATTTTAGGCCTTGGTTGAAACCTTGTCTAGTCCCGCTGCTCCTGTTTCCATGCTGGGTAGGGAGACGCCATTCAGCAACTCTTAAGTCAACAGAGCTTGATCAACAGAGCCGAGAGAGCTCCTCTGAGGAGAGGGCAGGAGCCAGCGGGCGAGCAGGGAGCTGCCTGTAGCCCAGGCAGCCACAGGGAGCTGGGCAGAGAGTGGGGTGGCCCCACAGACTGGTCAGAGGCCTGGACGTGCCCCCAGGGGATGACCCTGAGTCTTGGGAAGAGTGGTTCTGTCAGGGCAAGGAAGCTGGAAGGTTCAGGCCAAGGGTGTTAGACCAGCAGTGCAGCGGTCTGTTAGGTCACTGATGTCAGTTAACGTCGATACTAATTTAGATTAAAAAAAAAAAAAAAAATTAGCTGACTGGGCTCATCCTGCACAAATACAGGTTCTAGGGTCAGAAAGCTGTCATTCATAGTTTAAAATAATCCCTTGAACATCTGTCACATTTTTCTATAACTCACATTTGCCTCCTGGACAACTTCCTCATTAGCTTAAAGCAAGGGAAATAAACAGCTTAAAAACTTGTGCAAGTTCAGACATTTGCTAAAGCACGTTTCAGCTTTTACCATGTGTAGCCCTTCCACCGCGAGATCAAAATTTATGTAATATGATTGGTACCAAACCATGCTGAAACTGAAGAGCAAAAGCTTTGTCCAGAAAAGACAAACTGCCCCAAGGACAGACAGGCCTGTTGATACTATGCCTACGTTTATGATGCACCCACCAGTATCTACTCTTACTTACCAAGTACAAGTCCCATGGCAAAAGTTTTAAAGTGAACGGGGTCATAGATCCACACGTACACCTACAACAGAAATCATCTGGTTTACATTTGGAAAACCAGCTCTCTAATAAGCCATTTCATTTTTTCCTTCACCCAAATGCTTACTGCCACGCTGTAACACTCGGTGCTGAACAACGGGCCCCGCGGTCAGCACCGTCTCGGGGCAGGGGAGCGAGGGGCTGCGTGTGGCAGGCAGGGCTCTGCTCTGAGCGGGGCTTGAAACAGGTTTCTGCCGGGGGAAGAGGTGCCAAAGGAGGCAGCCAGGCAAGGGGCTGCCCGCCTGCGGCCCCACACCCTTGCCTCGGCTGTGGGACAATGACAATCTGAGCCTCATGGCAGGAGGCCAAAGGACCCCGCGCTGCTGAGGCAGGGCACAAGGCAGAGCTGTGCTGGAGGCTTCCGGCTGGGAGGGGGAGAAGGAAGGGCAGGAGTTTCCCTACTGTGTGAGAAAAACAGTGGAAATCTCAGACTGGAACTACTTCATGAAAGTAGCTGTACCCAGAGTAACTTACAGGTGATGTAAAATGTTGGGAAAACAGTCACAGTAAAATCAGTGGGGAAAGGAGAGATTAAGAAATATCACTGAGTCAAGGTTTGGTTTTATCTTTCTGTATTCATTAATGTTGCTCAGCATGAAGCCAAAACACTTGTAAAAAAATAAAAAGTTTCTCAAGTTCACCAAGTAGAAACAAAAAGTACTTCTAGCTTTGAAGATTCCCTTAAGAGAAAAAACAACAGACTAAACATACAGAACAAAGCAACCAGCTGAAATGCTCAGTTCAGCCTAAGTCCCATTCGATGGCCGCAGGTAATTGCACCCTCTGTTATCTACTTGTCTGCAGCTGCAACACTCGGTACCAAATGTTGATGCTAGAACTGTGGAGCCATTTGAATCCGATTTGTTCAGCCTTATTAAAAAGCTTCTTGGTAAAGTGCAAGATTTTCTGAACCAGAAAGATAGGATCTTTTTTTGTTATCAAACAAAACAATGTGAACCTTAGCTATTAACTGTGAAAAGCAGCTGCTGATTACTGGAAACCAGCAGCCTGCATAGCAGATGTGTTAATACGAACTACCAGGAGGACATGGGAGGGGCAGTAATACAGTTTTTCAGTGATGCAACAAATACTCAATATTCTACTTCTCACGGGATGTGAAAGTTGACTGTATGCAGTCAACAGCGGTTGCTCTGCTGCCAGTCAACTGTTCTGTGAGCCCAAACTGAAGATCATGACTGGTGACTGGGCAACAAGACAGTGTGTAATATTTAGGATTTATGGGCACAAAATAATGAAGAAAAGGGAAAAAACAGCTCTGATGTAAATACACAATGACTGGCTCTAAATTATCTATTACTTAAAAAAAAAAGCTCTTGGGAGTTGCAGTTCTTAAAAAATGCCAGCTCATTAATAAAAATGTAAATGATGTTAAGAAAAGAAGTAAATACTGTTATACTGCAAATACAGTTCCGCGCCCTCATTTTGAGTGCTGCATGCCATCCTCATTACTCCGTGTAAAGACAAGAGGGAGGATCAGGGGCAGGTGTGGTTCTATAGGAGGTGGGATGAAACAGAGAAAGGCAAGGTGTAAAAGAACTGACTGAAGAGCACAGTAAAGATACATAAAGGAAGCATGTTTTCCACACAGGTGATTTATTTACAGTGTTCGCTGCCATGTGTATTCGACAGCCAAAGGTGTATGAGAATCTCAGGGGAGGTTCCAGTACAGTGACACACAGCATCAACACTGAGCACTGTAAAATTTGGCTGAAGTAGAGACCTACCACTTATCCCAAATCTTAAAAGCACAAATATGACTCTGCACATGACAGAGCTGTTAAAGATTTAAATTCTTTAATCCAGGAAAGCAAAGTACAGAGAAGTGTTTAAGACCACAATTTCAGTGGTAAAGCCAGGGTGAGAATTCAGGAATGCCTGTGTCACCTATCTGCTCAGATCACAAAGTCAGGCAGCCTGTGGGTGGCCGATATTTTTGATTTCCCCTGCTGTGATTAAACATCATGCTCTAAAAGGCTTGTGTTTTGTTCAGAAATATTTCAGCATGGCAGTGGCTGCAGGATGATTCGGGTGGGGAGAGACCTCTGGAGGTGTCGGGTCACCCTCCTGTTCCAAGCAGGGTCAGCCCCGCGGCCAGGCCAGGCCACTCGGTGGGCACCGCGGCTGCAGAGCGACACACGTAAACAGCTGGCAATTAACTTTTCTTTTAGATTGTTTTGAAGTTACTGTCCTACATTTATCTCCCTCTAACCTCTTTGCAAATATCTAAAAATCTGATGTTTCAAGATCAGCCATTGCATTGCCATTAATTTTTCTTTCAGTGTGTCAGGAAAGAGTTTGCAGAAATCCAGTAAATGAACCCCTTATCTGACAATAGTACATTGACACTAGAAGTTAGAAATAACCCGTAAATCTTACCTCATTTCCATCCAAGAAAACTTGGTCTTCGTGTGGCTCAAGTTTAAATTTCCTCTTAGTTTCCTTTTTCTTGGGTGTTCCTGGGGTCTCATCCTGAGGACAAACACAAATTATATATATTAAAAAAAAAAAAAATCAAGAGGGTTTTGCTTTCTGGTATTTGAATACAGTGAGTCTGATAACTTTTCACAAACTTAAGATCATG